CTTAGACATGCATTTCTTTATAACAGAGTCTCAATAAGTGTTGTATTGTATTGAAACATTCCATACTTGTATACAAATGAAAAAAAATGTACAGAGACACAATTAATTAGAACGCTTACCGATCCACCATATACTGTCAGCAAGCTTCTTTCGCTTGAAATGATGGTTCCAGTTGCTCTTGAAATGCCGTATGCACCATCTCTGTGACCAGTTCCAGGCTGGATCCAAGCCTAAGATAGCAGCCCGTATTCCGGCGTGGCGATCTGAGATGATAGTCAGGTTCGTCCGCCTAGTGACATGGAGCTGAATTTGTCTGAAGAACCAGCCATAGCTATCGGTATTCTCTCCCTCCACAATGGCAAAGGCTAATGGATATACTAATCTATTTGCATCTGCTCCGCTGGCAATCAGTAGAGTACCCTTGTACTTGCCGGTAAGGAATGCTCCATCAACTTGAATAACAGGAACACAGTATGGAAAACCATCAACACATGGCTTGAAGGCCCAGAAAAGACGCTTGAATTGGCGATTGTTACCAGGCGCCGGCGATTGAATTTCTTCATCTTGGTAGCGAGGCGAGAAAATGGTGCCAGGGTTAGAAACCTCCAACGCCAAAATCAATTTGGGAAGGAATGCATATGATTCTTCCCAGTCACCAAACACGGCGGCCATTGCTTTCTGTTTCCCATGCCATGCTTTCTTGTAGTTAATGATATAACCATAACGACTAGAAATGTGGGCGATGATGGTTTTGACCTTAAGGTCGGGCTGCTCCTCAATTAGATGTTTGATAGCCGCGGCAACCACCCTTGATTTCAACTGTCGATGGCCTTGGGATGTTATTGATGACACACATGTGTGTGTGTTCACCGCACGGGATATGACCCAATGGCCGACTCTCTTGCTCTTGATAGCCCGAACCCTAGCTTTGCATCCCTCATTTTCATTTCTGCATCGAACCAGCAGCCTCTTTGTGTCGGAATGGGTTGTTTGCCATTCAAAACTCCGAGTCATTGCTTCAGTGGAAATAGCATGCCGGACCTCATTCTTCGTTGCAAATTGTTGGCCCTTCGTAAAGCCAGTTAGTGGACCCCATACTGGCACATCTGGCTGGTCCATGTCGGCATCAACATACCAATTTTCACTTTGAATGTGATTGTAGTATGGAATAGGTACACGGTCGTGAGCTACCTCATCACCATCTGCGTCTGAATCTGGGCCGGAATCATCAGCACCCTCCAACGGATCGTCGCTGTCTGCACTAACTTTGCCTTCCTCTTCTTCATCCTCAGGGTCACTAACTGGACTTGGATTGACCTCTTCTTCCATCTGACTACCAGCATGAAAGGCACCTTCACCTTCACTAGCTCCGTAATGGTAGTTGTGGTAACTAACACCGCTTTGATAGAAGTTGTAGTCGGGTGGGTACTGGTAGTCTGCTTGTTGGTTGTAATCCGCCTGTTGAGCTTCTTCTTCATATGAAGGGAAGGATTGATGACTTCCTCCAGTACCATGATGATACTCCTGCCTCCAGCTCGACTCTTGGAAATCCTGGTGGGGATGATTTTCGTATAATACACTCCCACCGTGGATACCAGATGTTTGGCCATCTCCAGAATGACATACACTGCCTTCGACGACCTCGGTGTAAACGAACATCTCCGTTTGCTTAATTTTATTGGTGGTGAAAAATTGGACCATGGCATCAACGTCCTCCTGAGTGGTAAGGAGGAATTCCTCATGCCACTGCGACCCGTCATGTCTGTTTGGATATCGATACACCATTCGATCAACTCTTCTAGTGCCATCCATGCAGGTAATCTGAGTGCACATTTGATGGAGCTCTTCAAGCATCGGTCTCGTACGGACCTTCATTTTATAAAAATTGCCACCGACGTAACTTACACCCTTTTCGGTCTCTTCCGTGTAACCATTCCACCGCAACCCAAGCGTGAACCTTTGGAATGCCATCTGCAATGAAAAGTAATTAAGTTACTAACATAAAATCACAAATGACAATGAAGAGTAATTAAGTTACTAACATAAATTCACAAATGACAATGAAAAGTAATTAAGTTACTAACATAAAATCACAAATCTGCAATGAAAAGTAATTAAGTTACTAACATAAAATCACAAATGACAATGGAAAGTAACTAAGTTACTAACATAAAATCACAAAGGACAATGAAGAGTAATTAAGTTACTAACATAAATTCACAAATGACAATGAAAAGTAATTAAGTTACTAACATAAAATCACAAACGACAATGGAAAGTAATTAAGTTACTAACATAAAATCACAAAGGGAAATGAAAAGTAATTAAGTTACTAACATAAAATAACAAAGGACAATGAAAAGTAATTACGAAACAAACTTACGAATAAACGTTAATCGCAAAAACTAAATAATTTAAAGCTGAAATTTTAAGAAGGAAGAGGAGGAGTTGTGAAGAATTGAGTTCTCTGAAACCGCCTTTTATAGGCAAAATTTTGCACCAAAACCGCTGGGGGGGGGGGGAGCAGTTTTGGTCTGCCATGAAGCCCTACGTGCCCTACCCCCTGCATGCCGACATGTCCGACATGTTGGCTGTCGGGTGACCAGGCACAAACCGCTCCTTGGGGCTGCGGTTTTTTCCTGACACAATAAAACGCCGCTTGGAGGAGCGGTTTGTGTCCTGACACTATAAACCGCCCTTTGGGTAGGCGGTTTGTAATGCCGACACATAAACGCTCTTTCCTAAAGCGTTTTGTGGTAGGGTTAGCCTATAACCGCTCCTTCCAAGAGCGTTTTGTTCTGGAAATAAAAAACGCTTTACCGAGGTGCGGTTATTATCTAAAACGCTTCCTGGAAGCGCGGTTTAAGTAAAAACCGCTACATAGAGGCGCGGTTTTAAATAAAGGATGGTATTTTTGGAAATTATTTGGAGTGGGTGGTATTTTTGTAATTTTTTTTTTAAACGGTGGTAGTTTTGGATTTTTTCCAAAAATCAATGAGAAAAAACAGTTTTTAATACTAAAATCAAGGTATGATTATTTTTATACCCTATCTACAATTAAGGACAATCAAGGAGAAGAAATGAAATTTGAAATAGTGAAAATCCTTATTCTTTTGATTTTAGATTTAGACTAGCGTGGGCCCCGGCCAGTTGGCAGGAGGAATGTGAAGTATGAAATTTGACAATGCAATGTGGTGTATAGCTTATTGTTGTATAGTTTTATTTTTGGAAACGCGTGATAAAAATAGTGAATTTTAGTACGAAAGAGACATGAATGATGCAACGAATAAAAAATCAGCCTTATGAGCCCAAATCAAGTATCTGTTACCTTGTGAAACAATATTGCTTCTGGTTATATGATGAGGTGGAGTAAGTTTTATAGAAACCTAATTCCAGAAAATCGAATAAAAAATCGCTTATCCCTCCGGTTTTCAGGAAATTAGAATCTCACAATCGTTGCTAGCTTTTACTCAGCCCGTTGGCCGATTAATTTGCTTTATAAAACTTTCATCTTGTCGTCATTGTGCTTTCTAGTTTTTGCCAGGCCATGATAAAATCTAAAGAAATGAAGAATGAACAACACGATTTGGTATAGGAACCGTCGTTCCTTTATCCCTAGAAAGTGGTGGCAAACACAGACTCACCTGCCAAACTGGTTTGGATTGAGATTTTTATCGGGTATCAGGGAATCATGTGATTATAAATTAAAATTGATCAAAATGGGCCAAAACTTGAAATTCAACCTGTTTGACCGACCCATGCCAAACTTTAATTATTCTTTACTTTTAAACTTTCTATTTGAAAATAAAAAATAGTGAAAGAAAAGAGATGACTGCAATTTGCCATTTGCACATCACTGATTCGTGAATAAAACTATAGAAATTCGAAAGGAAACTGAAAATGTTTAGGATAGTTTTAATGTTAAAAATAACCAAATAGATCTTTCTGCTTAGTTTTTTTACTAACAAATACCAAACGATTCCCTATAAAATACATTATAATTTAATCATTATGATATCAAATAATTACATAATATATATTTGAAATGATAAAAATTGGACTTATTGGGTTGGTCGAGGTTGAACCATTGAATAACTTTAAAATATGTTATATTTAGCCACTAAGATATAACATAATATATGCTAGAGAAAATAGCTTGTTTTAGAATGACAAACTCATGATGTTCATTTGTTTTACTTGATGGCCAAATCCCGTGTAGGTCAGACCCATTCAACTCTTTTATTTTATGGTTAGCGGTTAGCCCATTAAAATCTACGCATTAGTTTATTGTTAATTTTTTTTCTTTTTAGCAATAAAAGGAGTATTGTTTTTGCCTTTTCATATATACTAGTAATCAGCCCGGCCTCCGCGCCTGGTTACGTTTGTCTTTGTAATTTTATGGATGACTTAAAAGTAGATCAAGCAATTGCTTGGCTGAGTAATTTAATTGGTGAATTATTGGAGATAGATTGGCTCAGCAAATGTAACACATTGGGTTCACTAAAACGGAATGGTACAACGATCTTCAATAAGTTTTGTTTTTTGTATGGTTATGTAATGTAGAGTTGAGTTAATGGACATACTGTTATTTTTGTTATTGTTTTTGTCAAGTACTAACTACCACTAGCACCACGTTTTATTTTTTCTTTCTCAAACATGAATAAAGGGATCGCAATTTTGGAGATAGATTGCTCTCATAGCATACACTTCGTGTCGGGACTTGTTCAAAACTGAGGATTTTTTCCCTAATCACAGAAATTTAATAAAGTTAATAAAGCAGTTTACCATACAATTCTGTGTTCAATAGTATCACCACCACTACCAACATATATCCATAATAATCACAAATTACATTGCAAAACCAAAAACGCTGATAAAATCGATCGGAATTGCAAGTATTATGGCTAGACTTAATTTAATTAAGTGTGCTACACATGTAGTGAATCACGAACAAAAGAAAAAGCTACATAGCCAATAGCTTCGTTACATAGATGGAGACATGAACAAACTACAGATTATTAGATGACAGGTGTTCAAAATGAAACTATAAAATAAGATGGCGCATTTGAATAGGAAGGAGAGTCCTGAGTGTAAGAGTCACCACATATCTTTACGGATCACCAGGTTGCACCCAAAAAACCAGCAAAACATTCAAATTCTCACTTTAAACTTATGAGTTGGCAAATCTGGTTTCCCTTCGTCGTGAATCACGTTCCCACCACCGCGGGTCCTATCCAACGTGGATCTATAACCTAAGCACAGATCTTCGGATTGCTGCTCCTCGTTGGAATTCAATGGCCACCTTCCAGACTTCCGGTGCCGAAATCTCCTTCAAAAAATTGATCAAACAACACATTTTGAGAAAGAAAGGGCAAACCAACTCATATAACAAAAGAAGGGGGAAATTGCATCAAAGAAATACACAACAGACCTTGCGGAATAGGATCTCCCCTGGTCACTTCAAGTTTATCCATTAGAGAAAAAGAGACGAAAGAGACAAAATCAAGTCCAACCAGAAAAGACCTATGAATCTGGGTGTGACATAAGAAGTTCTCCCCTCATCGATGAAGATGGTACGTCCAAAAGAACATCTGAAAGTAAGATGGCGAAGTAACCATGAAAACCTCACATTAAACCCATCGAAGAGAAAGACATATTATTTTTAATCTAAACAACCCTCTCCTCCTCTTCTAAACTGTTGATATGGATCACGAAATAATGGACTGTATGCATAGCATAATAGAGACAGCAGAGAAACGGTAGTACTACTTTCTGATTGAGGCACTTAACTTGAAGAAGAAGCCCCCTTTCCTGATAGACAAATTAGTGTCGGTGGCGGGTCAAGCAGCAACTGGAATTTGTGGTTGGGGCGCCAATAGTTTAAAAAAAAGGCTATTCGTTATTCCTTCACCTGCAAAATGTGTATGTTCAGATGCTAAACATGGCTACTCGAGAATGCTACATTTACCCTGAACATGCCATTGTTAAGAGGGTGAAGAACAAAATGGAAAGTTGGCACTGTCCACTGCTCTAGAGCCTACTTTCCTCAATCTAAACAACCCAGTCCATTATTTCGTGATCCATACGTCCAAAGAAAAAAACCTATCAGACTTCCGTCCTAATTGGAATAACCTTGATAAGAGAAAGCCCAGTGGAATAAGATTCAAGACTTACCTGAAAGCATTGCTTAGAACCCTACAATTAATTTTGTTCCTATTGGGACCTTCACATCGTAGCTCCCAGCATGATTCCACAGCAGCACACCAAAAGATGATTTCAAATAAAAAACGAACCCATCAGTAAGAAATTGAGCAAATAAAACAAAGAATTGAAGCGTGAAGCTAAAGAGGAGAGTAAGAAAGAACAGTTTTAGCAAAAATTTGCCAGTTACGATCTAGTGTCCTTGATAGTTCAAAGTCTAGACCGCTGATATACACTGCAAAAACAGCAAGCAAGAGTAATTGATCAAAGAAAAGAAGAATGGGATAACTAACTGGGGAGAATGAACTGAAAAGAGTGAGTCACCTGTTGAGGCATTCCTCACTGAATCCGCGCCATCGTGCATCCATTCATCTAACACTACGGAGCTGACCTTGCCGCTGATGACGCGGACCTAACTCCCATCTTGCTCCGACATTGGGGTTTTTTTAGGAGAGAAGTGCAGCTGCTTACACGTCGATCAACTCTATTTTTTTTTTTTTGGAAAGGCCTGAACCCTCTTTTGAATTTCCTCTCCTCTGCGATTGTGCTGCTCGCAGATGAGAATGGGAGGGAAACAACTTGATTAGCGATTCTGCTGCTCGCAGGTGAGAATGGGAGGGAAACAACTTGATTAGAGCTTTCAGCGGAGAAAAGTTTTGGGAGAATCAAACGGCGAATCGTAAACAGAAAATAAACCCAATTGAAAGAGCTAGAACAATCACCTTAAACCAAAACCCGAATCCACAAAGCAGTGATGGCGCAGGCAGAAAACTGTGAGTTGGATGCTCACAAAAACTCGGGCCACCCAGAACCCTCCCTGCATAAGAAAAAGTGAAAAATATGCATAACAGTGAATTTTTAATCTCTCCATCTCTAATAAATTTGAGAAATGTATTCTCATATATTTTAGACTGAATTGTTTTGTCACAATTCAAATCATATGTACAAATCTAATTGCACAGAAATTCCTTCACTTTCGTTCATGTCCCTCCTTGCCCTTCCACCCACAAAGTAACAAAAGGGGTAGTGTTCTCATCCACCCTTTTCCCTTGCAAAATTTCTCTCTTTTCGCTCCTTTCGCTCGTTTTTCCTTTTTAACTTCCTCCCAAAGCTACTATCAAGAATGATCAGCTGGAAACGGGGAAAAAGGATGATACATGCAGCTACCTGCCAATCATGACGTATAATACACACTCTCTAGTTACTGCCCGCACATGAAACAACGAAAAGAAACAACAAACTTTACAGACGCAGTGTGGCCTCTTTCCTTGGTTTTTGCTTCGGCTATCTCCGTGAAGAGTTGCTGTCAAGATCCTCTATCTCTCTCCGCGATGCTTCCCATAGCCGATACTCCAACCCCAACTTCTTCATCTCTATCAGACCTTGCTCCACTGCACAGTACACGCACCATTAATAACCCCTCCACTAAACATCAAGCCCGCCCTACCCGAAAGAAACAAACATGTTCAACCCTGGTTCCATTAGTTACATACCATCGACAGCATCGTATGAACTCGGTGAGTGCTTGCTCCTGTTGATCCAGAACTGAAGCCGCTCCTTTGCAATCTCCTCCTCCACTCCGTTTGCTTTAGCTCTCCCCCAGAAGTACGTCAGCCAAGCCTCCTTGAAAAGCACATCTTCAGACTCTTCTGGGCTAAGTTCTGCCCAAGAAAAGAGATGAGCAATGAAAATATGACTCAAATTAAACTACGCAGATAATCATAAAGATGAGCACTTGATGGTTATCGAATGTGCTTACTAAATGCCTCCATATACTTCGGATCACCTGGTGATTTGAGCTCTAAATGCAAAAATAATAAAAATGAAGCAATCAATCAATAGGGTTGAGCATGGTCCAACTCAATTCATAATCAGATCAAGTCGGGATTGGAAGAACTAAAGGATAATAAGGTTCAAAATCAAACTGAACTAAATTGAGAAGGTGAGATTAGATTCAAATATCCGGCGTTAACCTACATTCCTATAAGTCAATAGTACATTTCACTAAAGAAGATGTTAAGAAAATAGTTCCATTGTTTTGATCTGAATGAAACAGAGGAGAATAAGAAGAAAAGGCCATGCCTGTGATTAATTGCCGAACAGAATTTGCACGTCGTTGTTGTGCCAGCGCAAGCACAATAGCTTCTTCAACCTTTTGTAATTCGCACACATAAATACACAATTAAGCATTAGTCAAATGCCTTTTCCAAACTCCAAAGTATGTGAAAGTAATTAAGATGGAAAATAATCATTCTTATGGATGACAAATTAAAAAAAAGCCAAAATCAAGACATGAAGGTCACCCAGGAACGAAACCTGAATTAAGCGGTAAAAACCCATTCCCCTAACCTACCAGCGAATCATCCAAAAGGACCTGACGCAAGAAAGTGTCCCTGCGATCAAAGCGAAGAAAGCAGAGATTATAACTGCTACAACACAAAGAAATCGAGATAGAGGGACCATAAAAACAGAAGAGATAATACCTGCGAGGATCAATAATCTTCCATAGCAAAAGGGACTGAAAGAATAAAAAGGCACAAAGCTAAGCAACTCACCCGAATCGGCAGATCTGGTTCTGTTCAGCATCATGAGTGGAACTCCCATGTTCGCCAACCAATCCCAGGAAAAACGGACGAAAATATGTGGCGTGAACGGCGAGCGGGCGCCGACGACGGTTGCTCTCCGGGCCGTGTCAACGAAATTTAGAATAGAGAGAGATGAAGAAGCTGGGGTTCATGAGAAAGACCGACGACTGTAAACCTGGAAGGAACAATCTTCGTACCTGCATCCACCACAGAACTACATGCCGTGGGAATTCCTCCGATGAGGGGGGGGGGGGGGAGAGAGACCTGAGTTCGCGACGGCGGGTTCTTGCGATCCAAGAGAATATCTGAAAGTAAGATGCGCAATCAACCATGAAAACCCCACATCAAACCGATTTAGAGACTCTGAGAGAGAAAGAAATACCAAAACTCACCCGAATCAATTAGAACTCGCCACCAACATCGTGGTTCACACATGGTCGGTCGATATTTCTCCTCCATGGCAATTAACTCTTTTCCTGGTCGCGGCTAGCTAGTAGCTATGGCTGGCGGGCAGGTAGCTAAGCTAATGAAGAATCCATTTATCATCGCCGTCGGGCAGCGGTCTCGCGTTTAGCATTGAAGTAAACAGCGGCGACGGGGAGGCCCAGACCGTTGAGGGTTGCGAAGTCCCTTGTGCTGAAATAGTCCCTCGCAGAAGAAGACGACGAAGAAGGAGGGAGAGGGTTGGAAAGAGGAATACGATCGGCCGTCGATCGAAGCGCATGACGGAGCTGTTTCTTTGGCAAGCTGGCTGCTTCATCGCGGAGGTTTTTGGAGATTCTGGCGGTCGCAAAGAGAGGAAGAGGGAAGGAGAAGATGGTGAGAAGAGGTCAGAGAAGGAGAAGATTTGGAAAAAATGGCTGTTTGCAGCGAAAAATGGCTGTTTACACTCCTCCCAAACAGCAACCTTATCTCCTCACAGTGATGGTGAAGTTCCCAAAAATTCTCGGGCAGAGGGAATCACCATCATCACTAATAAAGGAAAAGTACACTCGATTTGAGGCCGCGCGCGAAACTCGTAGTGAAGATAAGCGTCCAGTTGAGGGCAACGCGGCACACACAGCAACAACGGCGGGACCCAGACGCAGGCAGCCAACCAATCAGAAAACGCAGGCGGGCCCAATCACAGAGCTTGGACCAATGGGGGAACGGTGAACAGTAAAATTGAGTCTAAATGAATAGTAATTTCGTGTCTAGGCGTACAGTAGATTGTGTCTTTGCAAATAACTTTTTTCAATTTTACCACCACGAAGAAATAAAAGGGCTTAAAGAAAAAAATTGACACTCCTAGACCCGTTTAAATCCGCATGTGTACGGTAAGTTGACCCGTTTCACAGAGGAAAAAGAAAAAAATTGGCAATCCATATTCTACCCTTCCTACAAACGCTCCTGGAGCAGGGAATTTGAAATGGGGGGAATGTTTTTTCCTCTATGTTATTATATGTTTTTAATTTAAAAACGCTCATGGAGTAGGGAATTTGAAATTGGAGAAGGGTTTTTTCCTCTCTGCTATTATATGTTTTTAATTTAAAAAGATATAACATGTACTTAGTGTGATTGGTTATGATCTTTACTTTTCTTTAAAGTAGTCATGGTTCGAATCATAGTAAAAATAAATATTTCATGGTTCGAATCATAGTAAAAATAAACATTTTCAGTTGCCGAGACTTGAACCTTGGTTTTCGAGTGAGAGCAAAATATCCTGACCAACTAGACTACAACGGATTCTAGTTGCTTTCTAAACTCTTAACCTATTTTAACATAGTGAACAACAAGAAAGAAAAAGAAAAGGATTGCAAAACTCGACGAGGACAGAAACAAATGAACTCCAACTATTGGAGCAGCCCTCGGCCCAGTCTCCCAGGCCCGTTGACGGCTCACGTCGGGCCCATGTTGCGCATGCACGTACGTCCTCCAACGAGGACACGGAAACCCTAGTGACTTATTGTAAAGAGGGTTATATATGTTCCTGTAACTATCGCCTGCGGCCAACAATTCTAGAGCAATAATATTAGCAGCCGGAGAGCTTGAGCTCTCCCGTGGATTAGTCTCGACCATCACATCGGTCGAGGATACCAGGTTAAACACTTGTCTTCGTTTACGATTTACATATTTCACATGGTATCATAGCATTAAGATTCAGCGATCAGAGTTCGATCATGACAGGCACCGATTATTCGTCTGGTGGGAGCGACGGCAAGAACGTCGCCGGCAATGGCAAGGGGCCGAGCGGGGGAGATTATGACAACTTACCCCCCGTTTACCAGCTGCCATTGTCCGATAATCCAGGTCAGATGTTGGTGGGAGACGTGTTAACCTCTACCAACTACGGCGAATGGGCGTTAGACATGCGCGACGCCCTCCTAGCCAAAAACAAATACAGCTTTGTTGATGGGACCCTACCGCGACCTGACGGAGGGCCACAACGGAGTGCGTGGGTACGCAATGACGCTTGGATGAAGACCGCCATGGACAAGGAGATAAGAAGCAGTGTTCGTTTCGCGGAGACCGCGCGTGAAATTTGGGTGGACCTACAGGGTCGCTTTGGTCAGGGAAACGCATCGCGAGCCTACGAGCTGCGACGTCTAATTAGTTCGTTGCAACAGGAGAAGAACTCAGTCTCCAATTTTTTCACCAAGCTTCGATCCTATTGGGAAGAATCAGCGGCTATCACGCCCGTTCCCTGCTGCACCTGCGGGCTGTGCACGTGCAATCTTTCTCTCCGCATTCGAGAGCAACAAGACCACTCCCGGCTATTCGATTTCCTCATGGGGCTAGATGATGCTTTCTCCACTTTGCGCACTCAAGTTCTTGTAATGAAACCCACTCCAGGACTTTCTGAAGCTTTCAATATAGCTCTCAATGAAGAGCAACAATGACTCATCTCTCAATCTCGGCGGCCGGTGAGTGAAGCGGCAGCTTTCGCGGCGCGCAGCGATGGTGGTGATGGGGGGCAACGCAATTCGGCTGACAGAGCATCCATGAAGTGTAGCCATTGCCTCAAAAATGGTCACCTCCGCGAGACGTGCTGGGAGCTGATCGGATATCCTCTGCGTGATCGAAGAGACACTTGTGGTGAGCGGGATGGGCAGCGAGATGGACAGCGACGTCGCTCTAAGCCTGCTGGTGAGGGCCAGGCTCGTGAGCCTCGTGATCGCGTTCCGAGAGCTGCACAGGCTGACCACAACAAGAATCAAAGCCCTGTTGCTGGTTTCACTCTAGCACAACTCGAGCAACTTAAGCAGTTCTTTGGACACTCCGTGAAAGGGGCCGACGATCCCACCGCCAACTTGGCAGGTACGTCTTCTTGTGAAACCGAATGGATACTTGACTCGGGTTGCAACGAGCATATTACAATGGATGAAAGTTTGTTATTTGATAAAGAAATAATTGAGAATGGTCAACCAGTTAAGATCCCTAATGGAGCTAGCGTGCCAGTTCATCACATGGGCAGTGTGCTTCTACCTACGGGGATTACTCTTAATCATGTGTTACATGTGCCCGATTTTCAGTGCAACCTCATTTCGGTCAGTCGATTTACTAAAGAGAATCATGCTGCACTAATATTTCTCGATGGTTTCTGCGTCGTTCAGGACTTACACTCCAGGAAACTGATTGGGAAAGGTGAACTGCGAGGTGGACTTTATTACCTCCGTCTTTTGGGAACTGACCGTGCGCATGCATACGCGGTGAACGGCGGAGTCCAGGTTTCGGAGGATCTTTGGCATGACCGACTTGGCCATCCCTCGCGTGAGAAGCTGCTGCAGCTTAGTTCTTTGTTGCCAATTTCTATTAGTCAGAATAAAGAGCCGTGTCATTCTTGTACACGAGCCAAACAGTCTCGAACTCCATTTCCTGCGCCGGGTGTGCGCACTACTGCTTGTTTCGACTTAGTCCACGTTGACATTTGGGGTGGATATAAAATTGCATTCATGAGTGGTGCTTACTATTTTCTCACGATAGTCGATGATTTCAGTCGTGGAACATGGGTTTATTTGCTTCGTTACAAGTCTGAAGTTAGTCGTTATCTGATGATGTTTGCTAAGCAGGTCCGCACTCAGTTTGGAAGGAGAATCCGTCGCATCCAAGCTGACAACGGCCCTGAATTTAATACCCAGGCTTTACAGCAGTATTACGAGAACGAGGGTATTGTTCTCCAGACCTCTTGCACGGACACACCCCAGCAGAATGGGGTTGTCAAGCGCAAGCATCGACACCTTCTTGACACAGCCCGTGCGCTTTGTTTTCGGGCAAATATACCACTACATTTTTGGGGAGAATGCATTTTAACTGCAGCCTATCTTCTGAATCGGCTGCCTACCACAGCTACAGGTCACACTCCTTTTGCTCTGTTGTTTGGAAAACCCGCTCCCTATTCCCACCTTCGAGCTTTTGGATGCCTGGTGTACTCGAAAGACACGCACGCTCACCTCGACAAATTTGGTGAAAGAGGTCGCCCTTGTGTGTTTCTTGGCTATGCTTCCAGCCAAAAGGGCTATCGCGTGTACGAGCTGAGCTCGGGGAAGATATTTAGTACTCGTGATGTGATTTTCCACGAGCACATATTTCCTTTTCGACAGGAGGGACCCTAAGCTTTTCCTAGACTGACCAGGTCTATTTCTAACCAAGTTGTGGAGGATGACTTACTTTTTGCAGATTTGGAAGAACTTGTTTCTGAATCACCCTCCGCTTCTCCACGGGCTTCTCAGCACTCGGTCATCGTTCCCCCGACGGCATCGCTGGAGGACTCACCTTCTTCCTCCACCTCGGCGTCCCCATCTGCCACTCCGGCGGCCCCCGCCGCGTCCCAGCCTGTCGTGAATCTGGAGCGGCCCTCGGCTCCTGCTCCCCTCCGCCGTGGCGATCGTGATCGTCGTCCCCCGAAACGTTGGGATGACTACCACACTGCCCTGCTTCCCGGACAATGGTCTAACACCATCCCAGACAGCAACGCAGCTAAGTACCCCATCTCTGCTTTTGTTGATTACTATGGTGCTCAAACTGCTTATCAGTCCTTTTTAGCTGCTGTTTCTACTCACGATGCGCCCAACACTTTTCTCCAGGATGTGAAAGATCCTCGATGGCGTGACGCCATGTCCAAAGAGATATATGCTCTTGAGAAGAATGGCACGTGGAGTTTGGTGCACTTGCCCCCTGGCAAAAGAGCCATTGCCCCTAAGTGGGTATACAAGATCAAGTTCAAGTCGGATGGCACAATTGAATGTTACAAGGCGCGGTTGGTGGCCAAAGGCTACACCCAAATCGAAGGAATTGACTTCCACGATACCTTCGCCCCGGTCGCCAAACTTGTAACAGTTCGATCTCTTCTCGCCGTCGCAGTAAGCCGTGGTTGGCATTTGCATCAGCTCGATGTAGACAATGCTTTCTTGCACGGAGATCTCGAGGAGGAAGTTTACATGCAGATCCCTCCTGGTTTTGCAGCTCCCGGTGACACCCGCGTCTGCAAACTTCACAAGTCCTTGTATGGACTGCGCCAGGCCTCCCAAAACTGGTACCACAAGTTCACCGCTGCCCTCCAGAGTCTCGGTTTTCAGCCTTCCCCTGCTGACCATTCCTTGTTCAGTTTTCGGCGGAGGAGTACACATGTGGTGGCACTCATATACGTTGATGATGTTCTCCTCACGGGGAATGACCTCGGTTTCATGACTAAGGTGAAGACTTTTCTTGATGAACAGTTCGGGATCAAGGATCTTGGCGAGCTTCGTTATTTCCTGGGCATGGAGTTTGCCCGTACTTCTGATGGCGTCGTTTTATGTCAACGCAAATACGCGTTGGACATTCTTGCTGATGCCGGTGTAGTGCGGAGCCGCCCGAGCGCCTTCCCGGTGGAGCAGAACCACCATTTGTCTCGTGCCACAGCGGACGATGATGTTCTCGTTGATCCCTCTCGCTATCGGCGCCTTGTTGGTCGCCTACTCTACTTGACCGTCACGAGACCAGACTTGACTTACAGCGTCAATCTCCTCAGCCAATTTGTGTCGGCGCCTCGCCAGGACCATGTGGATGCTGCCAATCGCATCCTTCGCTATCTCAAGACCACCCCGGCTCAAGGTCTGTTTTTTCCTACTAAGAATGATTTGTCTCTCACCGCTTATTGTGATGCAGATTGGGGCGGCTATGAGAGCACTCGTCGTTCAACGACGGGTTACTTCATCTGTTTGGGCGGTGCACAGATTTCCTGGCGTACTAAAAAGCAACATGTCGTTGCTCGATCGTCGGCTGAAGCTGAGTACCGAGCCATGGCCAGCACTGTCAGTGAGATCCTCTGGCTTAGATGGCTTTTGCAGGAGTTAGGCGTTCCGCAGACTACGTACACTCCCCTCTATTGCGACAACCAGGCCGCACTTCACCTTTCGGCCAATCCCGTGTTTCATGAGAGAACAAAACACGTGGAAATGGACTGCTACTTCGTTCGCGAGCGAGTCCAGTCCGGCGACGTACGCCCCCTCAAAGTCAGTTCACAACTGCAGATCGCCGACATTTTCACGAAGGGCCTTGGGGCCGATTGCTTTCGTTTCTTGTTATCCAAGCTGAACGTGCGTAACCTCCACGCTCTAGCTTGCGGGGGAGTATTGGAGCAGCCCTCTGCCCAGTCTCCCAGGCCCGTTGACGGCTCACGTCGGGCCCATGTTGCGCATGCACGTACGTCCTCCAACGAGGACACGGAAACCCTAGTGACTTATGGTAAAGAGGGTTATATATGTTCCTGTAACTATCGGCTGCGGCCAACAATTCTAGAGCAATAATATTAGCAGCCGGAGAGCTTGAGCTCTCCCGTGGATTAGTCTCGACTATCACATCGGTCGAGGATACCACGTTAAACACTTGTCTTCGTTTACGATTCCAACCACTACAAGAACAAGAAAGAAAATCACATAGATAAGCTCAATCAGCAGGAATCAGGCCTAGGCTTCTTCCTAACAGCAATGCACCCACGTTGATCATCCCTAAGTACCCGAATCTCACAACACTCCCTCAAATCCTCCAAGCTCAAGTACTGCTGCTTCACCACCCTGCTAAAATCCCCACCTGCATCATGGACCCATATGTACGGCTGGCACGTCTCATCATGATCATAGTAATACAACAGATTCCCCATCCCTCCACCATTGCCGCCGCCGCCGCCACGACCACCACCTGGCATGTAGGCCTTGTATATGCTCTTGCAATTGAGCCTTTTTGAGGACCCTGGCTTCAAAGTGTGAACCTTTTTCAGGATCGACCCGACTCGAACCTGGAGCTCGATCGGCCTGTCACTCAGATTCCAGATTCTGGTCCCAAAACCTGAGCCTTGTGTGTGATCCCTGCACCCATCGAATAGGCACCCTCTCAGCAGGGGAAGTAAGCAGAGTGCCTTGAGGGAAAGCTTGTATTTTGGGAGTTTCAGCTTTGGAGGAAAATGCATCATTTTGGCCTGTGTTTCAGCAAATGATGGTTTGGGTTGGGGCTTTGGATATATATGGTAATGGGGTTTGAAAAAGTTTTGAGCTTTGGTTAATTTTCATAGTTGGATTGGGAGGTCATGTAGCAGGCCAATGGGTTCCTGATTTTTGGTGAGGAGGAAATGGTTGGGGCCAAAGGAATGATGGGGTGGAGGGTGGAGCATTGAAATGGAAGAGTGCCCTTGAATTTGTAGGACCAGTCAGTTCAGGACAAGAGGGCGACATAAAACAGGTAAGGAAAAAAAGGTGAAGTCTTGGTAGGGGGAAAGGGAGGAGCTTTGTCAATTTGCTAGGTTTCTGGCTTTACTTATCTTGTTAGGGTTTAGAAAGTGAAAGAATCAGGCACCAAATGAATCAATGTTAATGACGAAGTTGGAAATTATTCTGCCTTCACCTTTCATCATTGGACAGTTTTCAAAGTCATCATCCACCAATTCTTTCTTCAGCCCATCTCAGACTCTGCGGTTGGTGTCGTATTGTTAGAGATTGCTTCACTTTGCGTGAAATTGTGTATTTTTATTGCTGCTAGATTTGTGTGTAGGTTTACTTAGGTTTGCAAATAGTCACCCAACTTTTCTTTACCACCTCTAATGTTTTCTTCACCTTGATTTCAGATGTGCTTGTCACCACCATTGTAATGTGACCTTCTGTATGGTCTCCACTAGATGAGTAATCTTGGAGAAAAGATACTGTGTAAGACTGTAAGTAGCAAGCATGACATGAGCAACAAGTTGTTTGAATGGAAACAAGAGGGTGACCAATTACATAGGGTTTCCCTTTCCAATTATTGAATGAAGACAAGAGAATCACCAATTATAAGGGTTATCACCATCAGTGAGCAACACATTCATAGAAGAATTGTGCAAAAGAACATGGGCTTCCTGCAAAGTTCCCATTCCATATCTATTCAGCATTGGAAACCCACTGTATCTCACATGATTCCCAAGTTCAAGACCACTTCACAACGAGTCTTCTACCAATCTTTGATTAGCGTGCCCCACAACCTGAAATGGAAGGTACAACATCTTCTGAATATACATACACAGTGCTTGTCAGACAAGTTAATTGGTCTGGCCAGTGGAAGGAGCCAAAGCTCTCTAACTCAAGATATTTCCATGTTTCTATCTACCGACACCAAAGTTCCCAAGAGAGCTATCCTTTTCTAATCAAAGTTGCACCCACGTAGTCAACATCAACAAAGCACAATGCTTTCAAACTATGTTCATGGCTGGCATTCGAGACGATGTTAGATTTAGCACCATTAGTTGATTGAATGTCGATCAGGGACCTGATCAGCGTCCATACTATCATCCAAACTGTACAGAACTCTGGGTAAGCAGCCGATTGCTTGGCTATCAAACTGGAAGCAATTGGCTTTTGACACAGAAGGGAGGATTTACAATTAGATCACTGGTTTCGTTTGTTCTCGATGTAATCTTCAGTGTCTATCTTGATTAACAGAGGCTGGTTCAGATCACTTGAAGGATCTACCACCACTGGCAACTCCGGTGAGGCTGATGACCCATCTATTTCATCACATTCAGCCAAAGCTTTGTCCAGGGCAGACTTGGCAACTTTGGTTACCGTGAATATCATAACCACTGCACATGGAAAAAGTCGCAAGGTCAAACGTTCATGCATGCAATGCCGAAAAGAAAAGGAAGCATGATTGCATATCGTTGTAGTAGTAGCCGATGGACTTACCGGAAACAACTAGGCTCAAGACAATCATCAGCTGCATATAAGAAGTCCAGGTAAATTGTGCTTATTGGTGTCACAGACAGAAACAAGATATTGGAAAGATAAAATAATAATATGATAACTCGTATGTAACTCACTTATTTCAGTTCAATGAAACCAAATTCCTAACACTTTCAGTGTGAGTTTTAACTCTAAGTACCAAGTTTTAGGCCAACGGAACTTGATTCCCAAGCTTTTTTCACTTCAAACATAAACCATGGAACTGGCATGGGAAATAGAATTTCATTTCCCGAGTTTTTAGGATATCAAAACAGGCCGTAAAAGTGCAACTGATACCAAAAGACGTGAAGAATATTGAGTGGTTTGCTTACCCAACGAGTTGGCGAGAATTCACTCCAACCATGCGTTACATCAGAAAGATCCTTGAGAGTTGTTCCAACATAGACTAGTGCAAGTGTTATTGGCTGCAAACAAATAAGAAGTTTAGTTGCAGGGGAAAGCTGACATGAAAGTTGTCCAATATACTTATGCTAATCCATGCATTACTTACCATCATTCCTAACCAGGAAGCCAGCATGTACTCCATAAAAGAAACAGGAGTAACCGACAGCAGATAATTCAACATGTTAAAAGGGAGCAATGGAACTAGCCGAAGCAACAGAACAATCTGCAGCAAGGAAACAAATTCCATCCGTTTCACATAAAACAGGCTTGTAAGATGGAACCATCATAGAAACATTGGATGAAGAATCAAGAACCTTGAATCCAGATCTTTCAATAGCAATAGCAACTGATCTGAACTGTGGATAGTCCTTCAACTTGGCAACAACCATAGACCTACCAAGCTGCATATAAGTAAGCAGAATGAAACAAATTATGGTCAGGCATTTGCACAAAATGACCCATAAGTTGTATCTGGCACCAAGCTAACAAGAAAAAGAACTGAAAATGGAGACAAATGACTACTTGGGAGTCGTGTCATATTTCTGTCTCAATCCTTCTGTACAATGCATACACGATTAAATATTCACCAATATATCATGCATAATCCTAAACTGATGGATGATCCTCCTACTGGGATGTACGAAACATACAACTAGGGGAAATTGAATACAACAGCAAACTACAAGATTCTGAGAACTTACAGTTCTTCCAAGAAGAAATGCAGCACATGCACCAATTGTGGCACCAAAAGAATCAGCAACAAAGCCAATAGGCAACCCAAAAAGATATCCGCCACCAAGCTGAAAGATAAATGCCGAGTCAGTGGAACTTCAGTGAAATATTCAGTGCAGTTCCCTTGTCAGTAAATATTATATTGGCTTTGCGCATTTGACATTGAAGGAAGTATATGCAGTTGCTTTCTACAGCTAAGTTTGGATAAACATGGGTAACAATGACATGGATGCTTACAGTAAGCACTGATGCAGGAACTGCCAAGATCGTTAAAGGTATATATGCCACAGCACTGCAAATAAAATAAAACATCAGCCAACGAGGAAAGAAAAAATTTCCATACCATTATAACATGTATCAGTTATACCAAAACTATAGTCAGTTAACATGTAAGAGTTCCAGTAAGTATCTCAATCATAAATTCCACTACCAAGCATTTTAAACTAAAAATGATGAGATGTTCCACTTTCTGTTATAGTCTTTCACAATAAAATTGCAAACAACTGAAACTGCAAAGGAAGAACCAACAAGAGCTAACAATTCCAAGAGCAAATGAGAAAGCAACTATCGAATTTAAGTGAATTGTGCACATTATTCTCTGCAATAAAGACCAAAGAATGTGCCGATAGACAAAGGGTTATACTGCCATGAGTTATCTGCATATGATGATACCGATGCTGTCATGTTAACCAACTAGAGACAAATAGCTGGCATTTTCTCAACCAACTTAAACCAAGAAAATTGACTTGTAGTAATATAATGATAAGGAACACGGTAACTCCAACCATAAAGTGGGACAAATTTACTCCAATGTTATGAAGGGAAGAACAAATCAATGTATTAAGAAACAAAACTGAACGAAGGAAACAAATTAAACATAAACAAGATCAATTGACTTACAGCACAAGGGGACCCCAAGCCCCGAGATCCTGCTCAACCCATAATAAAAAGTCCTTCAGTATCTGCAATGGAACAGTGATTTTGGTCAATGAAAAGAGAATTGCAAGGTATCCCGTGAAACTCAATATATGCAACTGTATATGAAGGGACAGGTCAAAGCTATATAAACGGATCTGATCCTTCAGTACACAATCCACTAAAGAATGAGATCAAAGTGGCAGCAATAGATTGCAGCTAAGGAACTGCCTTGATCTTAATTTGAACAAAGGCATCATCAAACCTTAGCAACCACAAACACTGAATTAGCATCCATTGCAGCATGAGCTAGTTCAGGATTGAACAGCAAAACCATAACTTGCTCAACAATCAATGCATAACTACAGAAGTCATAAACCACCCAACAAAAACCCAATTCACAAATCCAGCTAACAAAGCAGCATTCCCTTCAAACCCCGAGACCAATCGGGGAAAGATGGGGCGGGTGACGCACCTTTTCAACGGGGAGAGTGAAGCAGGCGACAACCACAGCGGCGAGGAGAAGGAGGAGGACAGTGATCCTGAGAGCAGAGGCCCAGGAGAAGGAAGCCATGGAAGACAAAGAGGCGGAGAAGAAGGATGAAAGCCTTCGACGCCAAGGCCTGGAGTGGGTGTTGTCTTCGAGATCGCCGGCGGATGCAGCAATGGGTTGCTTCAAATGCAAGCGAGGGCGCAATTTCCCTAGATTTGCCAGTCTTAATTTGCCCCCTCGCCTCGCTTTCGGCAGATTGATTCCGGGGGAAACAACCCACCAACTCTCCTTCTCGCTGAAACCCCCAAGCTTCTCTCTGCGCTAGCTCTGACCTTCGCCCGAATCAAAACCAGGAAAAGAATTGAGCTAGGTGAAAATCTTTGATCTTTATATGGAAAATCAGAAGAAAAAGTAATGGGAAATGGGGGAAATTGGAGATTTCGATTTTTTTTTTCTAACTGAATTCTGCTGAAACGAGAAAAATCCGTCCGCGGTCCATCCAACAACCGTCGGAGTAAAATTTGGTGGAAATTTGGAAAGAATGGTTTGGATTGCGTTGAGCTTTTATTTATTTGAAGTGGGATTGGATTGAGTTGGAAGTCAAGAGTCTTCCAAAGATGGAGAAATAAAAATGGGGGAAGTTAGGAAAAGCAAGCTACACACTCTATCCCCGCGCCGGTGATGTGGATTGGTCGGCGTCAGCGCTCTCTCTCCCTCTCCCTAGCTTTGCTGGCGGTGCAACGTAGGAAGCGAAATAAAAAAAAGATGTTTTCCGTTGCCGGGACTTGAACCCGGGTCTTTCGGGTGAGAGCCGAATATCCTGACCAACTAGACTACAACGGAACTTATTTCATAGCAACCTGTATTTGTTTATATAACGAAGTTTATGATTTCGAGAATGGACCAAATTATGCTCAAATCGGTTAGATAACGCAAGTGAGCTGTTGTATGTGATTGAATGGTCTTTCTGTCGGACTTCGAGTCCGATATGATTGTTCATTTGGTAATAGAAAGAGTAATTCAATCCATAATAATGTACCTGAAATTATAACATTTTTGTTACTAAACCAACCACCAGGAGAGAAAAAAAACAACACCAAATATACTAATCAATAAGATTAGTGAGATAACATTTAGGGTAACGTCTATATTTTGATTCTTTTATATTATCCAAACCTATCGAAATACTAAAAATTAGCCAAATGTTAACTTTCAGTTAGTAATTTTATTAGTAATATTGACTTGGCAACATGATACTCACTTGGAAGAGACACATGAAGGTCAACATTCCAAAATTTAGTATATTAACTAAGAAAAGAGTTACAAAATTATTAAACGATAACGTAAAAATGGCTAATATTTTGATGTATTATAAAAGATTTGGTTAATTAATAAAAATTTAATAGATTTGGATAATATAAAAGAATTTGAAAAAGATTTGAATAAAAAATATACATTATCCTAACAATTAATACGAAAACAATCAGTTGGAAGGCCATAGTCTTTGATAATGGGTATCATATATTTGGGGTGTTGATTGTGGATAGCTTCTACAAAGCTCTTGGATCATATCATTTACACATATTTTTGCGCAAATCAAACTGAATTGAGACTTGTAGATGTGATGGCAAAGTTTGGTTACGATTGTACGTCCGGATAAAGGATATGTTCTTCTGATTTGACATCGATGGTCAACTTGGTTGAACTTGATAGGACTAACTAGCTTTACGTGCGAGCCCAAGTTACATTTCTTTGTTAAGTTTGTTTTTGGGTTGGCTGTTATGTATTTCTAATTTCCTCCGTATAAAACAATGGTAATTCTTATAGCGGATCGAAATAACTAAATGTCAGAATTCAAGAGTTGAACGACAACTCGTAAGTGTCTCTTAATGATAGTGGCAAATAACTAAGAATGAATTCTTTCTTTCTTTCTAGAACGATTCTTCCTGTGAAATTGAATAAGTTCTAATTCAATTTCAGTTCTCCAATTTTGGTCTCATGAATCTCTACCATTAAAAGAATAAAACCCTAACCATAACTCAACATATATCTTATTAATAGTATAAGTGAATAAGAATATCGTTCCCAATTCAAAAAAAATGTTATACTCATACTCATCAACCGTAAAAAAATATTAACAATAATAATTCCACACAATTGAGCTTCCAAAAGAAGCTCCAAAATCAAGCCCAAATCTCTACAAAATCATCTCATCTCGCACACAGCACATTGAGCAACACATGACACAGCATAACATCCACAAAATACTGGTGCCCAATCAACCAATCGAAACACCTCTCCTTCGCCCGCGGCCGCCCGTAATGTATCCCGTCGCTACACCGGTTGTCGTAATGCCAGGGAAACGTCATGTCGAAGTCATCCACCACGCCGTCGATCACCCCGGCGCTCCTCAACTTGTCCAGCACCACCCAATTAAACACCTCCATCTTGCTCGGATTGTACTGCAGCACCCTCGCTCCCCCTGGAGTCGCCACCGTCGTCCTGTACACCACCCTCGGCCTCGTCAGCCCCCTCCGGCTCACCGACTCCAACACCTCCTTCCAGAAATCCGCGGCGTCTTGGGCTGCGCCGACGAATCCCCTGACATTCCGCCAGTGGGATCCGTCGTGCAAGCCCGAGTTCAGTATCAGCGTGTCCGACACCGTTTCACCGCCGAAGTACCCTTTCAGCAAATCCCTAAACCCTTCGTTTCTCAGGGAGTCTAGCCCCAGATGGTTGTCCGTCTCGTTCCAATGGCCGTTAAAAATGCTGGTGATCCGGACGGTTTGGGACGCGTCTTCAGGGTTCGTGAAGTTCGAATCGAATCTTCGGGGAACGGATTTCACATCGGTCAGGTTCAGCACCAAGTTGAGCAGGTTTCTGATTGTGTCGACGTGGTTGGAATCTCCGGAGAAGAAGATCCACCTGTTCTTGAGGCAGTTCCACGCCGAATTGCGCTGAAAGAGTTGGAAGGAGCAGTGAGTGGAGTAAACTCATCCGTTGCTCTCCAATCTGCCTAATGAGCCGTTGCACCAGGGGTTCCGGCAGGGGAAATCCGGCGGGAGACACAGCTACCGCCCGTCGTCGCTGATCCGGCAGCTGTCGTTCTTGCCGTGCCCGGTGTTGGAAATGTATATGAATAGCTTTGAAAGCTATAGAGTCTCTAGTTGAAAAACTACCACATTTGTAGTTTTACTTGGTGAAATGTGTATAAAGATAGGAGCCTCTCCCCCGAGGGCATGCCCCTTGGGGTGACCCACTTTTGTGGAAGAGGGAGGACCTAACGGACCACCACACACGCGCGCGCGACTCAGCTCCAAATTCGGTAACCTCGTTCCTTTTGTTGTTCCGTTCCTAACACCCGGTCCATCTCCCAACCCATAAATCTCTGGTGAAATCGGATTCGCTGCAGGTTTTCAACTGTGGTAATTCGGCGGCATTGCTTGTTGTGACGAATTTGATTCGGAGGCTTCGCAGTGTCTGGACCACGGCGGATCTGGTCGGCAGGAATTTGAGACCATCGAAGTGGCGGTAGAGGAGGATGAGAGTGAGGACGTAATCGCCGGCGAAATTGGGGTGTACTTGGAGGGTGATTGTGTAATTTCTGTTTCCCAAGTCTTTCACCGGAGGACGAGATTTCCATGACTCGCCAAAGAGGTCCGACTCGAAGTAATCCCCGCCGGAGCACCGACGGTTTCAGGATTCGTCCACTGCCTGGAAGACCAAGACGTGAGCATCTCCGGCGGTCAGCTCAACGACACCCTTGTCGTTGTCGAGACCCGGAATCATAATCTCCGCCGTTAGTTTATTGTTGCCACCGGGAGCCTGCAATCGGGACAGGAAGGCCGAAGTGAAATTCGGCTCGAGCTCCACCTTCGCCCATTTCGCACCACCGCCGCCGCGGCCACCGGGATTCATGGACAGGTATAGCTGCTGCTTGAAACTTGAAGAAGACTCAATGATGCTGCTTACGGTAGAGGCGTCCATGTTCCAAACAATCAGCAAGCCCAGGAAAACCAGAGCAGTGCAAAATCTGAACCGCCATTGCTGCTGCCGTGGGCTCACCAGGGAAAGCCACGGTAACGGCTGGAACTTGGATGTCGGGGAGTTGGCTCCTTTCTCCTGCATGTCTGCAGTCTAGAAGAAGATAGAGCAGCAATTGGGGGGGAATCAATTCAAATCAAAGGTCGGGAAACTGGGAAGAAGAAAAATTGTTTTGAGAACAGAGTTAAGCAGAGTCCGTCTGATTCAATGCATTATATTAGTGAGAATCATCAAAGAGCTTCCTCCTGATATTCGAATTTCCCGCGGGAATGTAACAGGAAATTAAGAGTCCACCTTTCATCTACTTATTATTTGTGGTTACTGCGTTTACTCCCCGATAAGGAATAGCAAACACATTTTTTCTATGATGTAATTTGGCAGAGACAAGGAGAATTCGATATCACAATTCACAATACCTTTCATTCACATCATATTTATGGTTTGGTCCGGTACAGGAACCCGAGTTTCAACCTTTATATAGGTCTGGACTATTTAAAAAAAAAAAAAAAAAACAACTTAAAACCCGAATTTCCGTCACACACGTCAAAATACCCGGTCGGGTATTTATCCTCCACGGTCGAGGGGCCTTCTGCCCAAAAGAGACAGGACGCTGCCAAAATACCCAGTGGGTTATTTGGCTTCTACCACCGGGTATTTTTCCTGCTCTTCCGCTGCTGGGGCCGCATCAGTGGAGAATAAATAATAGTTTTGACTATTATTATTGGTGATTGTGTTGTGAATATCCATTAGATATTGGATATTGGGATGCAAAGTATTGTTAATATCCGTTAAATATTGGGATGCAAATTATAAATTATTAATTGTAACAAATCAAAAATAGCGTAGTTTTTCTCTACACAGTTGGTTGATAGAGTAGTAAGATTTTGATGCAAATACTACATGGATTCACTTGAGACAAGGTGAAAAGTGTCTAAATTGATACAGTCTTACTAATTTGCTATGAACTTATTATAAATGTTAGTAAACTTCTTCAGTTGCTAGTTGGAGAATTGCTTTTGCAAGTTGATTCATGACCCAACCACACCCATTCGTCACCCACCCAACCGAACCCGCAGAAGAATGTGAGTGGATTGCGGGTCACAATTATTCCAACTCGCTAGTAAACGGGTGAGTCAATTTAAAACCAAAACTCATCCAACCCGCACATTGCCCACCCTTAAATCTACTATTAGCAAATAAAAATGATTTAAGAATCTCCTTATCAATGAGACTTAGGGACCGAATTTGACCCGTTGGATTTGACCAAGAAGGTGCAATTTAATTTGTGGGGTTTTCGGGGATTGAACAATTTCTTTTGCATTTGGTAAATTTTATGATATTGCATTTTGGTGTCTATATTAATGAACTTCTCACACTTTGTGATTCTTAGGTGTGATGTCTAATGCATAACTTTTTGATCATTTCATTTAGCGGCGACTCCCAACTGGTCATCCAACATGTTATTTCGAAGGAAGCTTCTCGCTCTCGAACATGTGTGATCTCGAAGGAAGGTCAATATTTTTACTCATGCTTCAGTGCCTTTTTGCTCTAGAGATTGTCAACGGAGCTGCTCATTCAGCGGCCAAACAGATTCTTTCATAGACAATCCGATATCTTAAGGACTATGGCCTATAGTTGGAGTGCGTTTTGTAATTGAGTCTCCGTATTATGCATTTTGGACTTACCTTGATAGAAAAAAGAACCACTAGTAAAAATAAACTAACCTCGGAGCATGGCTAGTTCAGTAAGCTGCTTTAACATGCATGGGGCCTGTGAGGATTTTTTCTTACGTAGGAGGCCGATTTGGGATGACAAACAAAAAAGAAGGAAGTATAAAATGTTATAAGGGAAGATTATAAGCAACGGCGGATCCAGGACATAGTAGTGCACTGGGCCGCATTTCATTAGAAAATTAGATACGGTAAAAAAATTATAGTTTTTTTTTTACAATATCAATTGTATATGTCGATCTTTTAATATAGTGAAGTCATCAATAATGGAGTGTACATCCATACCAATAGCATACTAATATCCCTCAAATAAAATAGTTTACCAATCAGCAAGAAATTCATCGCTCATTATGTTACGCAAATCATATTTCACCTGTTCCATTGTTGAAAAGGTTTTTCTCCATGGTAGCTGTTGAAACGGGCAATGTCAATACTAGACAAATCAATCGACTAATCAATTTGTATTGTGTGTTCATCCATATTTCCACAAGCTGCTCTGGTAATTTTTCAAGAGAGCAAACCTCAGTTCTTTTTGTCCTTTACATTTTAGACTCTTAGAGTTTTAGGTTACATTGTTTGTTTTCTTTAGAAGAGAATCATTGGAGCTAAAATTTCTAGGCTAAATTTAGAGTTGTGATATGATTACGTTCATCTAACCCTTTTTCTCAATTACACACAATCTTATTATAAAATAACAATTGGCTGAATGACTAAAATCGATACACTCATAAGGACTATACTAGCTCCGAATCCAGAGGAGAGCTGGACCGTGGCCCGGGGTGGCCACCCCCTAGATCCGCCAATTCATAAGGATAGATGATAAGGTTATAAGCTGTGTTTTACCCCTTGTCAAATGTTTTTTTTTTTTACAAAGATATAGGTAGGCGTACAATGCAGTATGCTTACAAATATGTAAAAAATCAAATAATCAAATGTGGCGGTCGATAACTAATCAATCCGCCGATAAAAGAGCCTTTTTAGCCACTAAATGGGCAGCTCTGTCAGTATCCTAAGAAATGCAACAAAGGATACAAGCGGGTACATAACACACGCCAATGCCAGAGAAGTCGGATGATAGTTCAGCCTTGCTGATAGCAAAAGCAGAGCAACCATTCCACTTGCCACGTGCATGCCGAATCGCCAACAATTGTTTGGCAACACAGATATGCGCCACAAAATGAAGCACTTTGGTAGGCCCGTGCCAACTTTCATTGTTGAGAAGCATAATGGATGGAAAACTACGTGCCCCTGCAAAAACAACCAAACACACAAGTGCCCATACTATAGGACAAAACTAAGCTCCACTGAATGGACTTAAACAAGCCATTGAGGCTTGGTCGGATACTACGAATCCAACGCAAACAATGTCACAAGAAAAACAATTTTATTTTTGTATTTTTTTTAAAGTATAGTTAATGAAAAGTTGATATATACGAACAGTTAAGGAAAGAAAAATTAAAAGAGTTTGAAACTATATTTATGAAAATAAATAAATAATAAAATTAGGGAGGAAAGAGAGAGCAAGCGTATCTGAAACGCGAATCCCGGTTAGAAACCCATCTGAAGTCGTAACTGCTATTTGCTCGAGAATTGTAACCGTCAGCATCAATGGACCTCTAGAATTGAAACCTCCCAAAATGTAACTGCCTCCCGTCGAGACTCCGCCCGGAATCTAACTTCTTGCGCTCGGCTGCGGTGGAGGGTCTTCCGAACGTACCTGATTGGGGAAATACCGTTTCGAACGTACCAGATTTGACAGAACCGTCAGCCTGTGCAACTTTCCTCGCCGTGGCGGTGAGCACCGCGATCCCGTGCTCCGCCGCGACGACGGTGATGGCGGTGGGGGCATTCACCATCAGGCATCCGAATACGGTGGCTGCCTGGAGATCCACGTTGTCAATCCCGACGACCTTCAGCCTCCCTTTCGCCGTCTCGAACGCCTCCCGCGTCACCTTGGTCCCGCTCCGCACGATCAAGGCGTCTTAGGACGAGATCTTCCGACACAGATCCTCCGGGGAGAGGCCGTAAGAGCAGTCCACGTTTCTAAAATAATACCGTAATTTTCGCCGCGATCTGGGAATTAGCATCCCCCAACTCTGCTTAACCGTCGATGGATTCGTCCCCGCCCGCTCGCTGCCCACCTTCCTCTGTTTCCACCGTAGTTTCTCTTTAATCTTTATTACTCACTCATCAGACTTCACTCTCTCCATTCTCCAACATTCCTCAGGTTCAACTCACTCTTTTTCTCCCCTTCCTCTCTCGTTGTACGAAATTACGAAAATCTCCCCGCCGGAGCAGAATTCGCCTGAGACGCTGCGACGGGAGAAAAAAAGCGAAAGCGATGAGTTGCCACCCCTTGTCAAATGTTATATGTCATTTACGACTTTTAACATTGTATACCACACAATACCACCCCGTACCAGGGTGGTATTGTATGGTATTGTGTGGTATTTTTTGGTCCTGTAATTTGTTCACCCAGAAATTTGTAGATCCAATAGATCATGATGAACTCGTCCCTTCTGTGCAAATGTTTTCAAAAATGAATTAAAAACGAAGAAGATACCATATGGTATGCAGTTGGTACCGAGAGGCCAGAATTTTTTTTTCTAAAAAAATATTGAAAATTGTTCTCATTTGGTAGAGTACGATGAACTCGTTCCATCTGTGCAAAAAAAAAAAAAATTAAAATCCAAGTTAAAACGAAAAAGATATGAGCCGATTAAGAAAGCTAGGAAACATAAAAATGGTCCTTAATTTTCCATCCTTGGATATGAATTTTCTAAATGAAGAGTCCAGATTTGGTTATTGATGGATGCATAATCCATGGTTATGCACCCTATCTTGAGCCCTAATTATGAAGGTTTGAGACGAGCTAATGGAATGAGGAATGGAAATATGGAGAGCCCGAATTTGAGACGAACTAATTTGGCTAATGGGCGGGGAATTCCGGTTTCCTTCCGGAGAAGGATGAGTCAGTTTCCTTCCCACCCCTCATACTATTAATTGTCACCTTAGATGCGTTTTTTTTCTTCTTCTACTTCTTCCTTGTTTCTTTTAGCTCCGATCCGACTTAGAATTACACCAAGCGGAAACAGTAAAGAGGAAGAAGAAGGGAAAAAAAAAAAGAAAAAAGTAGGAGGTATATGGAGATGGATTACTCGCAACTTCCAGAAGACATATTGGTGAAGATCGTGGAAGACCACTTGCCTAGCTTTTCCAATCTCATCCTCTTCTCCCACGTCTGCAAATCGTGGAGAATCGCCGCTCGTCAATCCATCGCCGCTGAGCGTCGACCGCGGCCATGCCGCTCTGGCCTCCTATTATCCCGCAGCTACTCCGACTCCCATGAGTTCTTGCCCCTGGCCAATTTCGCCGCCGCCATCGCTCCTCCTCCTCGCCGCCGTCTGACAATCCGCCGGCGCGTCCTAATCCCTCTCGGTTTCGACAGCGATTATACTAATTACATACGTTCCCGGCGCTACTACAGGGGACACAATGCAAACCCGTGCATTGCTTCCAAAGACGGGTGGGTCCTGGTCATCGAACCGGGTCCCAGCCCGGACCCGCTCCGCCTCCAGCTCCTGAACCCGGTCACCCGCCAATCAATCCCTCTTCCGCCTCTCCTCCTCCCGTGTCCTCCACGCGCCCAGTTCACCGTGGACAACATCTTCAAAGCCGTAATCTCGTCTCCTCCGGACGATGGGTGCTACGTTTTCCTAGTATTCCACTTCGATTACGAGAATGTCACGCTGGCATGCACCAACGTAGCCGCCAGCTGCAATGAGTTTGGGCGAACACAGGTAAGGTTTCCGTAAAACGATCGATTCCATACAAACAAACTTGTATTATGCATTGATTGAACTCATCGTATCATCATAATTTAATTTAATTAAAGGCCAGGTAATTAGGTTAATACCTTGCATTGATTGATCGTCAATTATATTCAGTGTAGTGGTAATAAATGACGTTTTCTCGGGGCGAAAGTACGGAAATTTTTTTTATACATAGGGAGTTCCTGCCAAAAGAGCAATATTTTTCCAAACGAGAAATTTTTGGTTGGCTATCTTCCGAGAAAACGTCATTTGCTACCCATAAACGAGCAAATTTCTGAATTTTTCAAACTTTGGAGGATCATAACTTTGTGCTCCGCAATCCGAACGTCGCAAAGTTTTTTTTTTATTTTGAATAATTTTTTGAGTACTACAACATTTACTAGGAATAAATTTTGAAAATAGGAATATTTTTAAATATAAGGGGTTTTGGAATAGATTTATCTTTAATTTTCACATATATTCCGAAAATATTTCTATTTCTATTATGAAATTTGTAGTTCTCGAAAAGTTATGCGAAATGAAAAAAACGTTTGCTGCGATCGGATAACCGAGCACAAAGTTAAGGTTGTTGGAAATTTCACACTTCAGCCCAACATGTTTCGAGACTTGTATAATCGATATACGTCTAGATCGAGTCTCCTACACTCGAACCGGTTAGTAGTTCGAGTTCCTCAAACTCGAACCACTCCAAACTTAGGTATTTTGGAAATTTTTACTAAAAGTGTGGTAGTTTAGGAATTTGTAATACTTTTATGTGTATTTATGGAATTATTCCCTAACTAACTAACCATCTTTTTGACTCCGATCCGTCACGGCACGGAAGGCAGCCGAGCCGATCGAGGTAGGAGAAGGAGGAGCTTGGAAAATGAGCTACCTGGATCCCAAGATAGTGATGTGGCCGGGAGACGCCTCCTACTACGGAGGCAAACTGTACATAGCGGTGGGAGATGAGGGATCACCATCACCTCACTGCACCGTCTGCGTCCTCGACAACCTAACCACCACTCCCACCGTCGCAGCATCGATACCATTCACCCCTGCAATGTCTTCTCACTACAACAACGACGACGACTTCCCCTATAAAAACACCTATCTCCACTTGTGCCACCTCAACGGCCAGCTCCTCGTCATCTTCCGCCGCCATCCGCCTTACGATCGGGACCATCCGCATCCAGATCCGCTCACGTTCTACATTTACAAGCTGCTGCATGCCACCGGACATTGTTGGCAAGAGGTAGGTACGGTACGGTACGGTTCATCCTACTAGCTAGCTAGAACGAAATTCATGGTCCATGAAACCGTACCGGGAAAGTCAGCGGTAGGGTATTGTATGGTAAAACCGTGGTTTAATCATAGTTCAACCTCCAATACTGGTATTTTGTGGTTGGACCGCCGGTACGGTACGGTTTCAAGGACCATGAAACGAACACGTTACGTTGTTTTAATTACCAGACTAATTATCTTTCTAATTAATTAAATGTGATTTATTCCCTATCCTATGAAGAATAAGGGAAGGAATATTTATATTAGGGTTTTGAGTTTTCTCCTATACAATACAATACATAGAGGCAGCACTCCCTCGTCTCGTCTAATTCTAATTTTGTGCTCGATCGGTTTCTAACAGGTACGGGATCTGGATGGGCATGCTCTGTTCCTGGGCCACTCTCACCCTGCCTTTTGCCTTCCTGCCACCGACGACGTTGGGTTTAAACGGGACCGAATTTATTTCGCACTTTCCGTCATGTACGGCCATATTACTCACTACTACGTGAGTGAAATGTATAGTAACAACTGCGGCGTCTTCAGCGTCGTTGATCGAAGGCTCGAGCTGTTCGCCAAGCGTCCTTTTGATAAACACAACTATTTTTGGTTCCTCCTTACCCCGAGGTAATATTCATATTTTGCTCAACTCATTTTTCTTTTTTCCAAAATATATATATATATATATATATATATATGATGATGGGCCGGGGGAGTTATATTGATCGCCATACCAATACTTGTACTACTAGTGTCCCAGTTTTGACAACAGAGTGGACTACTATACCTAGGAAGACCGTCAAGAATCATCATCACAAAAATAGTAAGGACACTAATGTTATTGTCGCCACCAACCGATTCCAAGCTTTAGTTGATGATGATCATGAAGACATGAACGCTCATACGTATTAGTTCCAAGATGGTGGAAATGCCATGCTGCATATATGCTAGATTGAAGACAACAAATAACATGCATGTTAATGCTACGTAACACGACGCTTTCAGAGACTTTAGAGCGTGTTTTACTGCCAACGTCAACATATTCGATGCTTTGCTCAATTTTTGTACATGTATCTTAATTTTGTGGATGCGCCTATACTTTATTTGCTACTTTCATGGAGAACAATGCATTTATTTTACACTGGAAATTAGGGATTTGAGAAGATGTTTGTGAAAGATTTATGGAAAACTTGCTACTTTTCTTCTAACAAGAGGCGATAAGTTTCCGTTGGGTCTTTGACTCTTGTGGGTCGTTTGGATTAGGAATTTGAATGAGTGATTTCTTTAAAATTCCTTATTATGCAGGATTTTAAAAGAATTATGCGTTTGGATTAACCTCTAAAAATGATAGATTTTAATCATGCAGGATTTCAAAATGCCTGCCGTCCTCCAACTATTTTCAAATCCGGGCCTTTTTTTCTTCATCTTCCAGTTCTTTGCCCATTCCCCAGTACCCACACGTCACTTCTTCCTTCTTCAAGAAACCCCTTCTTCCCTTCTCTCTCTCATACCCCCACCGCCACCATCATCACTCCCGCGATAACCTCTGCGCTCCCATGTGATCCGAATTGATTACCCTCACTAGTCCCAAAACCCCTCCTAAATATGCTCTCGGCAAGAGCGATTCCAAATCTGCACTCGCCGCCATCCTGAAACGACACGTCAACAGCAGACCCGGAAAGGAGAAGTGCCGGCGATGGACATTATCAGAGCAGTAGCAAGTGAGAAGACGTTGGGCGGTCGCGCGAAGGAGGTCTTAAGGAGTTACCACCATCGAAGTGTAAAACGACGCAAGGGCGGTCTAGCGATTTCAGACCTACTGCTCGCCGGCGGCTCCTCAACCGATATCAACGAGTCGTTTCTTTTTGCGGGTCTATTTCCCGAGTATTAGTGTCTCAATCTCATATCTTTTACCGCAGATCTGGAGTTTTGAAGGCGTTGCATTGCAGATCGATTTTATGTTGGCAACTCTGTATGTCGGAGCAATGATGTTCTATATTGCAGTTTGCCGTCGCGTAGCTTTGTTTTTGGATTGGGAGTTGCCATCTCGAAGATTGAGAGTCGGCGTTGAGAGCTGTCATCGTTAATCAGAAGTCGCCACCGCCGCGGAGCTCTATTTCTGATTTGGGGCCAGAAACCCATCTTCTTCCACTATCGTTTTTAGATTGGGGAGTCCGGAAATCGCGAGCTGCCATCGTCCATATCGCTTTCTTTCAACCACTTTATGGAGAAGCAATCGATCCTCTAGTTGTCATCCTCTGGCTTCAATTCAAAACGAGAGGAGGAAGAGGATGCATAAGAGGAGGAAGAAAACGATGCCCTGGGAGGAAGAAGATGATGCAGAGGGCAAAGTAGTAATTTTAATTTTGTCATTAAAATTAAATTCTTCAATGCACAGTTCCTAACTCGGCAACAAACAATTGATTTGTTGCAATTTCCTAGTATTAATTTCCTGTTTTTTTAAATGAGGTAAATGCCGAATGGTGCTTTGTCCTCTCTCCTCCTCAGCCGCTGTTCATGGTTGGGGCGATGGCTATGGAAGATTATCCGATTGCTTTGGGATACATACCTAGAGGTTGAAGACGAAACCTGACATCACTCTTGGGGGCGTGATCCATTTCCCAGCGCAGGGTGGGACACCATTGCGCAATCGGCCCTGGAAAAGATCAAACGGGTTGAAGGAAAAAACAAGAACCCGAGGTGCGTTCATAGTGGGCTACATCGGACGGCTAACGTCTGGAGTGGTCGCAAAAGGAAGAAGGAAAGGATCCCGGGAGACGATCCTGGTGAATCAAAAAAGAGAAGGCTTCGGCCATTACGGGGGTGGAGGTTCTGGCTTCCACCGTCGTCAGCCACAGATGACAATTCCTGGGCTGCAAAATTCCAAATCCCAGAAGATGCAACCCGTGCGACGGGCTATCTATACTTGCGATTTACCCTTAGGGGGACAAGTTGAATCAGGTCCAATGGCATTCCTCGCGGAAGTCCTGCAGAAGGCTCAATTTCGAAATAAACTGAAGGAAGAGGATCCCTTTGGGGAAACAAGGAAGTCCAAAGGTGAAGGGTCGGCGAGTGTGCATCCCCTTCCCAATCCGGATTTCTCGATTATGGTTCTTGATTTCGGGGGGGGGGGGGGGGGGGGGGGAACCGTTTGTGCTATCCAGCCCGGGGAATAAGAGATTTGCCCCAATCCCAACAGAAAAAATTGGCAGGAGATTTGCACGGCTCTGTACAACCCCAGTGCCACTGCCCTTTTTAAGTTCCACTCTCCTTCCTAACTCTCTATCCCAAAGAAACAAAGAGTCATCTTGGAACGTGTTGGTGACGCTTCGGCTGCAACCCCAGGTCGACAAGCAAGAAAGTGAGAGCTCGATAGGTATAGCGGGAAAGCCCCAACTCTTTGCTCCCTCCTACCCCCCTCTGATGATGGCTCTGCCGTCGTACTAATGCCACAGACAACCATTATCTCTGCTCCTGCTAATGAGAATATCAGCTCGCAATGCGAATTGATATGGGCTGTGTCTAATTCTTTTATCCCTCTCTCTGTGCAGGATAACAAGATGGTCAAATTGCTGATGACCAGGTTGTGCAATTCTCCCTCGAGGAGGTGCAGTCGGTGAAACTCTGAGCATCCCGTTCTCTGCTGGGACGCCTGTTCACAGATTCCATTGTTACACCTGCCGAACTGCGAGATGCGCTGATCATCGCTTGGCAAATCAAGGGACAACTTCGGGTGTCGGTCACCAAACATGGCCTCTTTGAAATCGTGCTGCCATCCACTGAAGCACGGGTTTGGGTTCTCAAGCAAACCCCGTGGGTGGTTTTGGATGCCATTCTCCATCTTCGATCTTGGTCGTCAACAATCACGTTAAGTGCTGTTGAGGACTTGGCCATTGCCCCATTTCGAGTGCAGCTCTGGAATGTTAGGGAGGATTGCTGCACCAAGCAGTTTGGTCAGAAGATGGCGCAGGGCACCATTGGGCAAGTCCTGGAGTCGGGTGTTTTCGCATCGACTGATACCAATGAGCAGTTTGTGAAGGTTCGGGCTCTGATTGACATCACTAAGCCCTTACGCATATCATGGCTGCTAGTGAAGAACTTGACACCTTTTGGGTAAACTTGAAATACGAATTTTTGCCGACTCTGTGCTTTCACTGTGGTCGAGTGGAGCATTCCAAGCGTGCCTGTATGTATGATCCCCCAGCTGGGAAAGAGAGGTTTGGCCCTCACATGTCGACTCGTAAGATTGGCAGAAGGATTTATGAGCAGGAGACGGAGCGAGGGAACTTCAGGAAGCCTCATACTTCGGTTTGGGTTAACAGAAGTGCCCCGATGATCCAGGGCGATGGTACATGGAGAAGTCAGGCAAAGCTCATAAAGGATGAGCGCGGGACGGGGAGGCGTGAGTACCAAAACCCTAAGAGACAGACTGGTGTTCCCCAGCACATGCCTCCCGTGGCAGTCGATGCTCCTGTGGCCGCCGCGCCTCCAGTGTGTGAGATGACAGCAGCTGTTCCAATTGCAGACTCTACCGCCAGACCCACAGGCAGGCAGATTAGCCCCAATTGGTTCTCGGTTAAGAGCTCCCCTTGCATTAAAATTGGCGGGCGAAGGGTGAGGAGTAAGAAATCTCCTCGGGCGGTGGGGCAGGCTAAACAAGCCTCGCGTCGGTCCTCTGTTGGCCGAGCTGGTCCTGTTCCCCACCATGAGGAATCTGTTGCGAAGCCTGCAGTGATAATTGAGGAGGCTAGGCGGCGGCGCCTCATTCTGGAAGAAGAATCGGAGGAGGAAAGTGTGGAGCAAGGGCCGCGGAAGAACTCTGCTCTCCCCAATCCTGGCCTGGTTGAAAATCTGCTGCTGGCATCAACTGTTGGGGAACAAAAGGGGGTGGAAAATGCTGGGAAACTGAAAAGGGTGGTCTGCCCAAGCACGACGATACAGCAGCAGACCGCGAGGAGTGACTTGGGGGTGGGTGGTACGGTTCGCCGTCGGTTGAAGAAGAAAGGCCACAAAGTGGGGCCGCAGACTGTGGAGGAAGGGTTGGGCGTCGTGGGCCCTACCAATGGTACCGATGGGCATGTGGTTGAATTTTCTGAGCAGGATGGTTACCAGTCCTCGGGCGAGACCCAGGCCTTTGAGGCTAGCCTGAGTTTATCAAAGGAGAAAGATGACTTACGGTCCTCCCTTGCTGGGTGCCTAGTGCAAGAAGGGGATTCATGCGGGACTCATCCTCAGTCTCTGTAGCAGTTGGATGAATATGGCACTAATTTGATGGACCCAGTACTGACAAATCGGAAGCGTGGGTTAGAGGACATGGAGGGGGTGGTGGGGGACCCTCCAACACCGAAACGACAATTTGTGGAGTTAGCTGACAAGGTGGAGGAAGCCAGCCTAGAGTGGCCCCAATCAGCCAGATGAGACTTCTAGCCTGGAATGTGAGGGGAATTGGGCCATAACTCATATTCCAAACAGCTGTCGGTTTAGTTCGGTCTAATAAGCCGGATCTCGTATTCTTTTCGGAGACGCGATCGAGCCGGAGAGTAGTTATCCACCGTATGCGGGGTTTAGGTTTCGATGTTTCTCGTTGTTTCTTTGTTGATGCATCTTCGTGATATGTGTGCTACAATCCACCTTCCCTTCACGATTATTGGTGATTTTAATTCGACCCTTCACGTGGGGGAAAAAGATGATGGTTTAGAATGGAATATAGCTCAATCGATGAGTCTTCGTGGGTTTGTGCAGGATTTGGGGCTCCATGACCCAGGATTTCAGGGGGATCAATTCATCTGGACTAATAAGCGTACGGGCGTGGCCTATATTCGAGATGTCTGGATAGAGCTCTGTGCTCCCAGGCTTGGATTGATCAATTCCCGGAGACCCTGGTCAAGCATTTTACTGATAAGGGTTCAGACCATCGTGCCCTTCTTCTCTCGGACAAAGCGTATGTTCGGAACAGCCGGCCCTTTTTCCGATTTGATGCCCGTTAGGCGGACAATCCCGAGGTCAAGGCCATGGTTCGCTATGTCTGGGCGGAAGATATCCAAGGGACCCCCATGTTTCGTCTTTGGGAACGCCTCAAGAAACTCCGCCATTTGCTCTATGATTGGAGTAGGGCGGGTACCACTAATTACCTCCGGAACATAAAGACGCTCCAGCCTGAGATTGACGTGTCAAGCTATTCCTTCCTATTGACTGGGATACAATTAGGACCTTGGAGTCTGAACTTACTCGTCAATGGGAGGCGGAGGAGATCTATTGGCAGCAAAAATCAAGGGTGCAATGGTTAAAAAAAGGGGATAAAATAGCTCCTATTTTCATACGGTTACGCGTGCTCGCCGCAAACGTAATTTTGTTGCTGGCCTACAGAATGATAATGGGGACTGGGTTACGGAGGAACATGGGAAGGCGGCTATTGCTACAGATTTCTATAAAGGTCTCTTTACTTCCGAATCCCAAGTTCATAATATGGTGGATAGAGTGTCGTCTCTTCCCATTGATAGGAAGGTCACTCCAGCAATGAATACGAGTTTGACGGATGTAGTCCTCCCAGATGAAGTTCGGAGCACTGTTTTTTCCATGGGTTCGAAGTAGGCTCCGGGGTCGGATGGGTTCACGGGAAATTTTTTTACAGCCTTTTGGGATATCGTGGGTGACTCTGTGATTGAGGCGGTTTGCTCCTTCTTCACAACGAGTCGGATGCTCCGTAGTTTTAACCATACTTGATTAACCTTGATTCCGAAGGTCGACACGGTGGAATCTATGCGTCAATTACGACCCATTAGCCTTTGCCAGTTTGTTTACAAAATCATATCGAAAATCATGGCAGAAAGGCTTGCTCGCTTCCTTCCCCATATAATCTCTGAGGGTCAAAATGCGTTCATTAGGGATCGCCAGATAGTGGATAACATCCTCCTCGGGCATGAATTAATGCATTATCTAAAAATCAAAAAGCAGGGTAAGAAAGGATACATGGCTTTGAAGGTTGACATTGAAAAGGCCTATGATAGAGTCGAATGGTCCTTTCTCCTTGCGATTTTGGATAAGTTGGGTTTTAATTCGACCTGGCAAGGGTGGATCCATGAATGTCTAAAATCCTCCTCATTTTCGGTACTCATGAATGGCACCCTGTCAGGGTATTTCACTCCCTCTCGAGGGATCCGACAGGGTGATCCGCTCTCTCCTCTTTTGTTTGTACTCTGCACAGAGGGATTTGCGGCTCTCCTCAGCAAAGCTATCCCAGAGAGGAAACTGGAAGGGGTTAAAGTGACTCCTCTTGCTCCCAGAATATCACATCTCTTCTTTGCAGATGATTCGTATTTATTTTTGAGAGGTACTCTGGAGGAGTGTGAAAATCCGATTGTGGTCTTAAACGAATATGAGGAACTTAGTGGCCAGCGTGTGAATCTGGGTAAGTCAGCTGTCTGCTTCAGTAAGAACATTGCTTTGCCGGATCAAGAGTTTCTAGCGACTATTCTTGGTGTAACACCCTACCCTATACGTTTTGCCTAATCATATTGTTCATACAATTGCAGCGGAAATAATCTCGGGTGTTACATTAATTATCAAAATTTACCAAAATAAAATTTGGACATGAATTACTCGCGTAATGGGCTAACAGTTCTTGCAACTTATACTGCAAAATAATTCATCACATACATATATACTCACAACCATATTCATTGGCTTTTCTTAGCCATAGTCACACTTTCCATACTCCACAACTGCATACCATACTGATACAAGCCATAATCGTCACAACTTACACAGTTACACATGGCATAAGCAGAGAAAAAGGATAAAGAGGGTCAGCTCAAAGCTGAGTGAGATAATCATAGCATCGTGAGTTCATAACAGAGCATACCCCTATCATACATCTAACAATCAAGCCAAAACACTAGGATCGGACCTGAGCCATCCTCATATCCCAATAGGCAAAGGACTCAACCACCTTGACTTATGCATATGCATCTTATCATGTTTTAATCATAGGCTCCTGGCTACTCCCATGCTAATAACTCTCCCGGGAAACATATCCCACATCCCGTCGGATGTGGTCATACATACCCCACACCACTATGGGTGTACTCATACTCCGACACCGCTCTGGGTGTGGTCATATCTCATAAGAATTCTTCAGTCACCACCACATGAGAGGTGTGACTATCATACATATCATAATAAAGTAATAGCATAGGGAGCCCTAATTACTATGTAGTTGACTGTGAGACCACAACACTCATATTTGGTATCCTTATACATGATTCATATCTCATCTTGCTTAATCATAATTCGTTACTTGCACATGTACTTGACCAGGCCACAATTGGCTCAACATAGGTAAATCAGGAGTCGTATAATTGCACTTCCTCGGGATAAACCCTCGTGCAAGTCATCCTCCTTAAAACATCATAATATCACCTTGGGAAGTTTATTCCCCCACTTATGGATCCAAATACAACCATAATATCACACCATGTCAAAACCCCTTATCGAACAACCATGAAGTCATATCAACAGTTAAGCCACAAATGGCAACATGTATGCAATCATCCACATAAACAAGGTTCATATCGATTAGGGCAAGTCAATAATATCATACAGCAGTCCAGGGTTCATCATAGAGCACAAAAGTCTATACACCCCTAATCATGCCATTCTAGTTCACCTAGGTCAATTCTAAGCATCAATATAATTATCGTGATACGACAAACCCGGTATGCCGTGCTAATCCCTCACCAGTTCTGGTCTTTCAAACACCGGTTTAACCTTTCCGTACTAAAACGTTAATTTCACGAACAAACCCCGAATTAAAATCCGAGACCGTCCTAATATCCCCTGTAGTATCCCCGTCAATATTAGTTCTAGGCTCTGGGTCAAATTCTCGATAAAAACACATCAAACCCTGGTCGGAGCTAAATTCAGCGATCCCGGCTCCGATCTAAATAATAGCCGAAATTTAGGGATTAGAACTAGAGGATTGATTACCTCGCTGCAGGAAGCTCGTATATGAAATTTGGGCTCAATCCGGCTTCCGGATACTCCGAAACCCTAATTTGGCTTATCGGGAATTCAAGAAATTCCTGAACCAAAAACTCGTTTTAAAGCTCTAAATCGATAAATCACGATGTATAGATGAATTAGGCATTACTTACCGGATTTTTGGATCATTAAAACTTAAGACTTGAGCTCTGAGAATGTCCGTGCTCACCTCCCCTGCGTGCCCTCTGCTCCGGTTCTCTCGGTCCATAAAAGAAAGAATGAAACGATGATGATGGAAAGAAAATGGGACGCGTGGGTAATTAAATAGACAGTGTATGATATATATATATATATATATATATATGGCGAGTTCTATGGTACCCCAGGGTTTGATGTGTTTTTATCGAGAATTTGACCCAGAGCCTAGAACTAATATTGACGGGGATACTGCAGGGGATATTAGGACGGTCTCGGATTTTAATTCGGGGTTTGTTCGTGAAATTGACGCTTTAGTACGGGAAGGTTAAACCGGTGTTTGAACGACCAGAACTGGTGAGGGATTAGCATGGCATACCGGGTTTGTCGTATCACGATAATTATATTGATGCTTAGAATTGACATAGGTGAACTAGAATGGCATGATTAGGGGTGTATGGACTTTTGTGCTATATGATGAACCCTGGACTGCAGTATGATCCATAATATACTTTATATGATATATATATATTCATTTCCCTCAAACCAACCAGATCCGTTATATTCTTCTTGCCTATTCTGCTCAGAGCATCAGCAACTACATTAGCTTTACCTGGATGGTAATCAATGGTACAATCATAATCTTTCAACAACTCTATCAATCTCCTCTGGCGACTATTTAAATCCTTCTGATCCATAATATACTTCAAGCTTTTATGATCACTGAGGATTTTAAAAGTCTCACCATACAAATAATGTCGCCAAATCTTGAGAGCAAATACCACCGCTGCCAATTCTAAGTCATGAGTGGGATAATTTACTTCATGAGGACGCAATTGCCTAGAGGCATATGCGATAACTCTTCCATCTTACATTAACACACAACCCAATCCTTGATACGAGGCATCACTATACACCAGAAACTCTCCATGGTTTGAAGGTAAAGGCAGTACTGGTGCTGTGGTCAATTTCTTCTTCAGTTCATCAAAACTCTTTTGACATGATTCATCCCAAACATACTTGGTATTCTTCGTCAACAGTTTAGTCAATGGTGCAGCAATTTTGGAAAATCCTTCGACAAACTGCCGATAATAACCAGCCATGCCAAGAAAACTTCTCAACTCCGACACATCTTTTGGTGGAGCCCAACTCACCACTGCTTCCACCTTTTTCGGATCCACCTCGACACCTCTTCCAGAAATTACATGCCCCCAGAAATATTACCTCCTTCAGCCAAAACTCACATTTTGAGAATTTTGCATATAATTGTTTCTCCCTTAGAATTTGCAACACAATTCTAAGGTGAGTTTTGTGCTCCTCCTCGCTTTTAGAAGAGATGAGAATATCATCTATGAACACAATCACAAACTTATCAAGATATTCATGGAAAACTCTGTCCATAAGAGCCATAAATACCGCTGGTGCATTAGTGAGTCCAAAAGGCATTACCAGGAACTCATAATGCCCATATCTTGTTCTAAAAGCTGTCTTTGAGGTCGCTCCATCTGCCACTTTCAGTTGATGGTATCCAGACCTCAAATCAATCTTAGAAAAGACTGATGCACCCTGCAATTGATCAAACAAATCATCTATTCTTGGAAGGGGATAACGATTCTTCACTGTCGCCTTATTCAACCTCCAGTAGTCAATACACATTCTCATGGAGCCATCTTTCTTCTTGACAAACAAAACCGGTGCACCCCATGGTGAGATGCTAGGTCGAATAAACCCCTTGTCTAGCAATACTTGCAGTTGTTCTTTAAGCTCCTTCAGCTCAATTGGTGCCCTGTATGATGTTACCGACATAGATTGACTTGGTGTTCTCCCAAAACTGCTAGGACCTCTCCTGGGTGGGTAACGAGGTCCAGCATAATTTACTCCAAACTTCCTCTTCTTCTCCTCTTCTTTGGCCTTGTGTTCCTCTCGGCTCTCAACTTCATAGGCTTCATACTTAAGTGCTGCCTCCTTGATTGTGGCCATGCTCTCTTCATCAACCCTGTGGATCTTTTCTTTCAATCCTATGCGCAGACCATGCAAGTATCTCATCTACTTCTTATGCTCAGTATCCGCTAACCCATCCTCAAAATAGAGTAGTCGAACAAACTTGATGGTGTACTCAGTAACTGTCATGTTCTCCTGCTTAAGGTTTGCGAATTCATTATTCTTTGCCCTGATAAAAGCTTCGGGAAGAAACTCTGTCTTAAAGGCCTTCAGGAACTCCTCCCAGGTGAAATGAACTCGTTCACCATTAACTCTAGAGACTGAGGACCACCAGCTCCTCGCGTACCCCTTTAGGAGAAAAACAACATACTATACTTTTTCCTCTGGGGTCGCATAAAATATTCAAACACATCTTCCATCTCTCTCAACCACTCTACTACAACATCTGGACTTACATCTCCCTTGAAGTCCCTACCACCCAAACTCTTCATCTTTTCATAGTCTAATACTGGCGGTCTTGCATCACCCGCCCCTACTCCTCTCGACTGGTCAGTAGGAACATTTTCACAACTTCCGTGCGAGCTACAAGGAAATATTGGCCTTAGCTTGATCCACACAAAATTCATTCTTCACCAAATCTCTCACTGGGTTAAAATAAAATTTTCCCAAAATAATTACTTGAAAACAATAAGTTCAAAACTCAATTTTGAAAATCATGATGCAGGTAATTTCATCCAATATACCAATACACATAATCATGTCAAACTCAATTCCCAGTTTAAGTCATTATGGGGTACTCCCCTCCTCAGGAGTGTTTAACCTCCCATAGGGTATAGTACGCCATAACAACAAAAAGAGGGAACCGGGCTCTGATACCAAACTGTAACACCCTACCCTATACGTTTTGCCTAATCATATTGTTCATACAATTGCAGCGGAAATAATCTCGGGTGTTAAATTAATTATCAAAATTTACCAAAATAAAATTTGGACATGAATTACTCCCGTAATGGGCTAACAGTTCTTGCAACTTATCCTGCAAAATAATTCATCACATACATATATACTCACAACCATATGCATTGGCTTTTCTTAGCCATAGTCACACTTTCCATACTCCACAACTGCATACCATACTGATACAAGCCATAATCGTCACAACTTACACAGTTACACATGGGATAAGCAGAGAAAAAGGATAAAGAGGGTCAGCTCAAAGCTGAGTGAGATAAACATAGCATCGTGAGTTCATAACAGAGCATACCCCTATCATACATCTAACAATCAAGCCAAAACACTAGGATCGGACCTCAACCATCCTCATATCCCAATAGGCAAAGGACTCAACCACCTTGACTTATGCATATGCATCTTATCATGTTTTAATCATAGGCGCCTGGCTACTACCATGCTAATAACTCTCCCCGGAAACATACCCCACATCCCGTCGGATGTAGTCATACATACCCCAACATCCCGTCGGATGTGGTCATACATAACCCACACCACTATGGGTGTAGTCATACTCCGACACTGCTCTGGGTGTGGTCATATCTCATAAGAATTCTTCAGTCACCACCACATGAGAGGTGTGACTATCATACATATCATAATAGAGTAATAGCATAGGGAGCCCTAATTACTATGTAGTTGACCGTGAAACCACAACACTCATATTTGGTATCCTTATACATGATTCATATCTCATCTTGCTTAATCATAATTCGTTACTTGCACATGTACTTGACCAGGCCACAATTGGCTCAACATAGGTAAATCAGGAGTCGTATAATTGCACTTCCTCGGGATAAACCCTCGTGCAAGTCATCCTCCTTAAAACATCATAATATCACCTTGGGAAGTTTATTCCCCCACTTATGGATCCAAATACAACCATAATATCACACCATGTCAAAACCCCTTATCGAACAACCATGAAGTCATATCAATAGTTAAGCCACAAATGGCAACATGTATGCAATCATCCACATAAACAAGGTTCATATCGATTAGGGCAAGTCAATAATATCATACTGCAGTCCAGGGTTCATCATATAGCACAAAAGTCCATACACCCCTAATCATGCCATTCTAGTTCACCTATGTCAATTCTAAGCATCAATATAATTATCGTGATACGACAAACCCGGTATGCCATGCTAATCCCTCACCAGTTCTGGTCGTTCAAACACCGGTTTAACCTTCCCGTACTAAAGCGTCAATTTCACGAACAAACCCCGAATTAAAATCCGAGACCGTCCTAATATCCCCTGCAGTATCCCCGTCAATATTAGTTCTAGGCTCTGGGTCAAATTCTCGATAAAAACACATCAAACCCTGGTCAGAGCTAAATTCATCGATCCCGGCTCCGATCTAAATAATAGCCGAAATTTAGGGATTAGAACTAGAGGATTGATTACCTCGCTGCAGGAAGCTCGTATATGAAATTTGGGCTCAATCCGGCTTCCGGATACTCCGAAACTCTAATTTGGCTTATCGGGAATTCAAGAAATTCCTGAACCAAAAACTCGTTTTAAAGCTCTAAATCGATAAATCACGATGTATAGATGAATTAGGCATTACTTACCGGATTTTTGGATCATCAAAACTTAAGATTTGAGCGCTGAGAATTTCCGTGCTCACCTCCCCTGCGCGCCCTCTGCTCCAGTTCTCTCGGTCCATAAAAGAAAGAATGAAACGATGATGATGGAAAGAAAATGGGACGCGTGGGTAATTAAATGGACATTGTATGATATATATAATATATATAATATTATATAATATATATATAATATATATAATATTATATAATATATATATATTATATAATATTATATAATATATATAATTAATACGTATACTTATCCGATCGATCGATAATTCAATTTTTGTCGAAATACTATCAAAACACTCGATTTTAAATTGCGAACTTTCTAGCGATCAAAATATGGATTTAGCCGAAATGGGATGTTACACTTGGGGTGGGTGCAGTGGGGGTTCATGATAAGTATCGGGGCCTTCCGTCACTGGTCGCCCGGTTTAAGATGGCTACATTCCGATATTTGGAGGATAAATTGCTAGAACAGTTGCAGGGATGGAAGCAACGGACGTTATCATGGGCGGCCAAGGAAACGTTGATCAAATCAGTGGCCTTGGCTCTGCCATTACATGTGATGTCTTGTTTTAAGCTCCCTCTGTCTCTGTGTCGCCTCTTAGATAGGCCCGTTGCCCGGTTTTGGTGGGGAGCAGATGCAGACCATCAGAAGGTACGGTGGGTGTCCTGGCGCAATATGTGCAGAAGTAAGCACGATGGGGGACTGGGGTTTCGTCAATTTGAACACTTTAATCAAGCCCTCTTGGCAAAGATTGGGTGGCGGATTCTGATGGAGCCCGAATCCCTCCTAGCCCTGGTTTATAAAGCCAAGTACTTTCCAGAGGGTTCCTTCATCCAAGCCACGGCCCGGTCTCGCCCTTCGTGGGGTTGGCAAAGCATTCTCTTTGGTAGGAAGTTGTTGTGCATGGGTTTACGCTGGCAAATTGGTAATGGCCGCTCTACGTCCATGCTCCGCTCAACGTGGATACCTCAACATTAGCTTGATCCCCCTAGGTATAACCCTCAGATTTTGCCAATGGGGCGCGAGCCGTTGGTGGCCGATCTTATCTGTCAGGGGGAGGGCGGTGGTGTGACCGGAAGCTTAGCCAATGGTTTGACCCTGATACCTGCCAAGCCATCAAAGCAATCCCTCTCCCTCGGCAGGATATAGAGGATAAGCTAATCTGGTTTGGTACTTCGGGTGGGGTCTTTTCGGTGAAGTCGGCATACCACTTGGCTGTCTCTTTGGATCGTCGCCGGGGTGGGTGGAAATCAAGTGTTAGTTGGATGGATAAGAACAGTTGGATTCGTCTCTGGGATGCGAATATTCCCCCTAAACTTGAAGTGTTTGTTTGGCAAATCCTCAATCGTGCCCTCCCTACTACTGAGGCACTTATTGAACGGAAGGTCCCATTCCATCCCCGGTGCCCATTTTGTTGGAGTGCTTCCGAGACTCTAGAACATTTGTTTCTCGATTGCCCGGTGGCACGTGCTCTCTGAGACTATTCGGGGCTGGAGTACCTGGGGGAGGGGTTGCCTCGAGAGACTTTCCCCTTATTCCTAAAAAGGGTGTTGGCCTTGATAAGTCAGCCTAGGCTTTTCATGGCAGCGGTAGGAGTCCTCTGGAGGATTTGGCGGTCTCGCAATTGGGTTGTCTCTGAGGGTAAACAGTTCAGTTTTCCTGCATTGATTAGGCAGTTTAACCAACTGTATGATGAGTGGGTTAGTTTTCCTTCCAGTAGTAATCCTTTGCCTCGGGTTCGGGTCTTGAACCAGCCTGGAATGACGGGGGTTGCTAGTCTGGTATGTAGGTGGGATGGTGCTACCAGGAAGGGGTCTCATTCAGAAGGTGGAATGGTTATTCTGAATGCAGCTAGGGAGGTCATTCTGGCTAGGGGGTTGCAATTCCCTGTGTTGGATGACCCCATGGTAGTAGAACTGTTGGTGCTTCACGAGGCTACTTTGTGGTGTAGGAATCTTGGGTTTGTGGATATTACTTTTAAGGGAGACGCTAAAGTTATCATTGATAAAATCAATCAGAAGAACGTTAGGGACAATCGGATGGGTGCTTTGCTTGAAGAAGTAGTTCATTATTTTAACATTCAGCCTGATTCTCGCATTCGATTTATAGGTCGTGATGGCAATAGGGTAGCCCATTTGGTGGCTAGAAAGGCCCTGGCTTTGTATCCGGCTATATGTCGTACTTTTGATTTCCAGACCTGGCTGAATTCCAGGATGTAACTATTTTTTTATGGATCAATGAATGATTATCTTTTGTCCAAAAAAAAAGTTTGTGTATAAATTCCTGGTTTAACAAAACCTTTATCCAAACGACCTCTTGTTGTTTTTTGGTCGGATTTTTTCTGGAGTTGCTTGTATTTTGTTCTTTACCAGGATTGTTGTGTGTGTTTTTGTGGCTAATATCTTACATGCCACTTTGTCCCCCCCCTCTTCTATGGGTTAACAACATTTTGTGTCCCTTTACTATTGCAATTTAACAAATATGTCCCAACATTACATTCTTGCATAATGTATTCTTCTAATATCATAACGTAATAAAAATATCCTTCCGTTAAAAATTCTATGAAGTGGTTGTTAAGTGCGATGGGAAATGACCCAATTACACCTAAGTGATTCTAACCACGATCCCATCCATCCCTCCCCTTCACCTGAAGAGAAATCCTCACCCCTCCCTATTCTTTGTCCAGACGTCGACAAAGTTGTAGCCAGCAACCCTTGAAGAAACGATGTTGTCCTGACATCCAGCTGGCAGGGAGAGACTGTCGTCGGTGACTCTCGAAGTCAGGGGCGGAGCTAGGATTTAAAGTTTGAGTTCGACCATAATTAATGATCGGCTGGATTGACAGTTACGTACTAAGATTTGCAACCGCGAATTAAGAATAATAATAATAACTATTATTATCACAATTTCCCCCTCCCCAAACCCTTTCCCCACGCAAAAAACCCCCCACCCCAATTAATTATCACAATTCCCCCCTCCCCTAGCAATTTTGTAACATCTCAAACTTTTTCCCGACGATGTTATTATCCGCTTTGGGCCTCTACACCCGCACGGATTTCCCTTGGGTGCACATCAAGGTGACTTCCCATAAGGTCACTCGTCCTTGTAGTGCTCCACCCTGAACTCCTCCATTTCACCCCAAAACGCATCTTGTCAGTTAAGATTGGTTTTCTACTTATAAACCATGGATCTCTCCCGCGATTTGTCGATGTGGGATTTTCCTAAGGTGTTACATACACCCCCACCCCCCCTTGGGTCTCAACACCCTTGTTGTGGTTTGCCCCACCATCGTTCAAGAGGGACGCAGAGAGAATCTTATACCACTTGTAACATCCCGAACTTTTTCCCGACGAAGATATTGTCAGCTTTGGGCCTCTACACCCGCACGGATTTTCCTTGGGTGCATATCAATGTGACTTCCCATATGATCACCCATCCTTGCAGTGCTCCACCCTGAGCACATTTAACTTCAGAGTTCTCACAAGAACTCCTCCATTTCACCCCAAAACACATCTTGTCAGTTAAGATCGGTTTCCTACTTATGAACCATGGATCTCTCCCGTGCCTTTTCGATGTGGGATTTGCCTAAGGCGTTATAAATTTCCCCAGCGGCAGAGGGAAAAAGAAGGAGAAGGGGCAGCGTTGGCCCCTGTTCCCTACTCCGACCCCATCCCTTTAGTGTTCTAGGTAATGATCATGAATCCTTTCATGATTCCAAACTCGATTCATCAATAATCTAATCTGAAACTCGTATTTTTGTGCTATAGCGGTTGCGGTGAGGTTTAAGAGTTTAAAAATCGATCAACGAGGAGATGAACGTCCCAGATCATCCAATCTAGTCCTAGGTACGTTCTAGGGGTAAGGGAACTTGATCCCTTTGAGTTAGATCGATCAATTTGGTGATTTTTGGTGAGGGTGCAATTCTGGGGTTTTAGCAACAGACTTTACAGGCTTTTAGTGACAGATTTTGGTAGTCAATAAAGGTGCAGGGAATTTCCATAAACGTGTTTTTAGATGTTTTAATTGTTTCGAGCCTTTATGGGTTTTGGTTTCTAGGTTTAGCAATTTTATAAATTGAGCTTGGTCTAGAAGATGACTGTAATTTAATTTGGGATTTTCGAAAACGTATTACTATTTTTAGAAATTAGTCGAACGTTGATTTCAATTAATTAAAAATCATGTCAGGAAGTTTTCAGGAGTTTGATAATTTTCTAGGGTTTATGTTCTCATGATTGACATGGGAAAATCATGCTCCGAAATTTTGAGAAGGTTCAAATTAGGTGAAAAAATTCCTACAAGACGAAATTAATTAGGAAAGGTTTTGGAAGGGATTATTCCTAGGAAAATTTATAAAGAAGGTTAAGGGATCTTGGGGATGAGGTTTGAGGATGGGACTTTGAGGAGAGGTGTTTTGGTAAATAAAAAGGGTTTTAAATCGAGAAAGGTCGTCCAAGAAAATTAATTTCTTATTAATAGGTTTCCCGAGATAATTCGGCTAAGGAAGGATTTCTCCGAGGAAGAAATCAAGGAATCATCGTTTTGAGGTGAGTGTAAAGAGGGTAAAATCTCTGTCGAGGTCTTTTAGTTTATGATTTTTGTTGCGAGTTATTATTTAGTTAATTTTCTAGTATGCGTCATATGTGTGTGAGGCATCCCACAACCTACTGACACGCTAAAACACAACACCAAACTGCGACCAAGTGTAATTGCAGTCCGGAAATGCAGTAAAGTGGCAAGCTCTATTTATCAACCCGGGGTCTAGATCTACTGCCTACTCCGTGATTATCTATTATCTGGCAAACTAAGTCGAGTGATTGTGATTTAAGCAAAAGCAGTATGAAAGCACGAAATGGTTCAAAGTTCTTTAGCAAGGGAAGAATCACTCGGGAATGAGTCCCCCTAGCTCCTTAGTTAGGTCAAGGTTGTAATTACCTTGGGTTGATTTACCGTTGATTAAACTGAGGAAGGTCCAATAGTAGTTTGGAATCTTTTAAGCTGACCAAGCCCTCTCAGACAGACTAACCGGCAGGCGACTAGCCTTCACCGGGATAGACAACTGAGGCAATAAACACAGAACTCCACTACTGGAATTGGATTCCAGTACAAAGCAGTAATCGATTAACTCTCGTATAACCAATCTACTACTACCAATTGATGAAGCTCTAACAACCTAATCAGATTCTATCTATCTCAGGTTGCAGTAGAAATAAAGAAAAGACGATCAGGCTTCAATTGACTCAATGAATCATGCATCAATCGATTAAAATCAATCAGTATATCAATCCAAAGATTACAATCAAGGTTCCTAACACATGGAACTAGGGTTCTTCGTACCCAAGTGAGAGAAAGTTTTACTCCATAGAGAGAGAGAGAGAGAGAGAGAGAGAAACAGAATACAAAGTAGTCATACTCATAACAATGGGAAGAATCTGCTCTAGGATGTCGATCTTCACTCCTAAGGATGCAATATGGGCTTCAATGGTGAGAAATCCACTCCAAATGGCTCCTAGGGTTTGTTTTTCGCACTTTCTCTCTCCAAAGCTCTGTTTTTTGCTCAAAAACTCAACCCCCCTTCCTTTGGCTCGAATCTGCCTCAAAAACCCAATTCTTGGCGAAATACGGGCAGAAATACGGTAGTAAATCCTCCATACCAGTATTTCTTCCTCCGCTCCTGTTTAATGCTTCGTTTCTACCTCAAACGGACTCTGAATCAGTCACCATTTAATCCCAGACGCTTGTAGTCTCGTCCTATTTCTTTTCATGACAAGATTCCATGATTAGTTTTCCATATATGAGGTAGAAGTCCATTCTTCCTCAGGTCATGCTCGTGTTTCTTCTCCCGAATTGCCAAATGATCTCTAATTGACTTGAAACTTGGCCTATGCTTCAATTTACATGCTAGGACCTGAAATGTGAAAAAGGAACACAACCTAGCGTAAAATAATCCAAGAAAGCAAAAAATAAGCCAAAATGATCAAGAAACGAGGGTGCAAACATGTGCAAATATGACGTTATCAAATTCCCCCACACTTAACCGTTTGCTTGTCCCCAAGCAAACTTGACTCAAACCAATGCAACTCTCCAGACCTTTATAGAAACATGCAACCACGATCTTCGGTAGAGGACGTTCTAAGTCATTTAGCAGCTTGCGAGGTCAACCGACGCACAAGACACCTCATAACTTTTTCGGCGAGAACTCTAGTCTCGAGTCGGTATCATGGCATATAGTGATTAGAAGACAAATGAATCGTGGACGAAGGGACTCTCAAAAACAAAAGATCATGGACTCACATTTTTAAGGTGCTCTATTTTCTTCTTGAAGATGGTTGGAACCCTTTTTTCCCTTGTTTTTCTGTTTTTTTTTCTTTTCTCTTTCTTTTCAAGGATTCTAACCTGTTTTTTAGAAAACGGGGGCTCCCACCTAGCAAAGGTTTTGCGGGAGCCCGGCTCTTACCGGCCATGCCGGGAGCGGATGTCTCGAGCCTCATGCAGGGGAAAGAAATGTAAGGGGGCTGGAGGTAGTAGGTGGAAAATGGGAACGGATTACCGTCTCCCCTTACACACTTTCGCCCTTTTCGCACGGGAGACGTTATTTTAAAGCACATTTTTGAGCACCTTCTTTGAAAACATGGTACAGGAATCCATGTAAGTTAGAGAGTCCACAATACCACACAATTAAGGGGTCCTAAGATCACTAATTCACACAATCAACCAACACAATATGAAGAAGGAAGGAGGCTTCTTAAATGCATCAACATCCTCCATAGTGCTACACTACCTCCCTAGGTTGCATATCAGCATAAAGACTGTCAATTCAAAGCATACTGGGCATAATATTGCAGGGAATAGTACTTGGAGCCCTCAAATCGAAATTTGGATAGTGGACTAGGCTCCAAGCACACAAACTCATCTAGCAGTCAAAGATAGATAAACACCCCCCCCCAACACACACTTAAGCACGACATTGCCCTCAATGGAGCAGAGGGAAAGATAAGGGGAACGATGTTACCGAGAAAACGGACTGCCAGGGGGGGGGGGGCAAATGGGACCAGTCAGCAGGGGCGGACTGGAAGGGGGACCAGTCCATAGAGCTAGAGTCATCAAAACATAATGGGTGATAGAAACCACAATTCCAAGAGGAAAAACCGAGAACAAACGTAAGGAAAACAAACCTTGGTGGGGTTGCCTCCCCACAAGCGCTTCTTTACCATCTTTTAGCTGGACGCTAGTAGGGTGGATTCTCAGAGAGGTGTAGGAATAGGTGCCTTCAAGAGCGGATCCACATCGCTCTTGATGTACAACTTCAGATGGTGGCCATGCACACGACGGGTGTGACCACCAGCACTCGTCAACTCGACCTGGCCATCCGGCAGGATGCAAGCGAGTGAATACTCGGATGGCCAAGTCGGATGAGGCTCAGGAGTTGGGACCAGCTCATAGTGGTCTCTCACTTCCTTTTCAGCAAGCTTAGCTACCTGCAGTTTCGGCCGCCACTCCTCCTTGATCTTTTCTTTTGGGAACGAGGTGGATGGGAGTGGCGGCAAAAGTATGGGAGGTGGGTGCTGCAAAATGGAAGGCACAGAAGGATACACGATAGACCCGTGCTCCTGGTGAGAAACAACATGCAAAGGTGATGAGGCGGTGAGAGTATTAGCAATGGAAAATGTGACTGCTCTAAAACACAACTCCTAACAAAGGCCAAGTGTAACCAATGAAAGGGACTACAGTATAGTGGCTCAAGTGATAAATATCGAATCCACGGGTCTCTAGAGTTACTATTACTCAGCTTCAGTTTATTATTTAGCAAATCAGATTAAGATGAAAGAACTAAAACTACTCTAGCAAACTACAGTTAAAGTTAATCTAATTACAGGTTGGGAACTCACTTAGGTATGATTCCCCCTAGCCACTAGCCAGATTAACGATTGATGATCTCTAACCTGTTTCACTTTCATTCACAATGCGGAGAATCCTTGACTAGACCTTGAGTCTCGACTAAAGGAACAAGGCCCTCTTGAGTCAATTGCCTAGAGGGACGTATCCTTCTCTAGAATCAACTGATCAAGGCGTTCTGAACTAGACTCCCTCTATCGAAAGGGGTTCTCAATCGATACAAAGCAGTGAATCAACCCTCGACTAAAGCAATCGATCCACTACTATCAATCTATGGTGCTCTATTGACCTAATCAGGTATTCCCTCTCATAGAATCAAAGCAGAATCAATAATCTCGACTAAAGCAGAATTGAATCATGAAAACATGCATAGATTGAATATGAACTCAAGATTATCAAGTCAGAGTACTCATACAATCATCCAATCAAACAAACATAGCTAGGGTTCCTCAAAACCTAAGTGAAGGGAAGTTACTCCATAGAGAAGAGAGAGACTGCAGTAAGAATCTTCAGATGATCAGTCTTCAAGTCCGGGCTTGTTCCTCAAGCTTCCAAGGCGAAGAAATCCTCCTTCTCTACTCCAAGAATGCCCTCAAATCGCCCTCTCTCTCTTTGGTTCGTCCCTTGGGTGTTTGGGATCCAAAAACCCAGCTCTCCTCCTCTTTGGTTCGGAATTTGGCTTAAAACCAGGAAATCCCGACTCACACGGGCAGGGCTACACGGCCGTGTGGCCTACCCAGTTGCCCGTGTGAGGCAAAACGCACCGTATCACTTAGTCGAATTCCAGGCTTCTCACACGGCCAGAGTGGCACGGCCGTGTGTGACTTCCATCTGCCCGTGTTTGCTCTCGACAAAACTCGCACGGCCAAGCCACTCCTTCACACGGCCGTGTGTGTTGTCAGGGCAGGCCGTGTTTGCTCTCGCACTATCTCACACGGCCAGAAATATGAGTTGCACGGCCGTGTGATTTGTGGGTGTGCCCGTGTGGCCTCCTTTGTGACTTGCCTCGCGCCCGATCTTCGCCCAATCGACCCCGAGCTCGCTCCTAAACCTTCATTCACTTGCCAGGACCTGAAATATCACAAACAAGCACAACCTAGCGT